TTTGCGTATGATCAATAATTTGAATAATATATTATTTTAGTAATGCAAGAAAATCTTTGCAATCAACCGCAAATAAGCATTAAAAATGTAAATACCTATCTATTACCTAAAATTATTATTTTTCCCTAGTATTTTTTTTAAATAATAGGTATGCAATATGAATATAATTTATTTCCAAAGGAAAAATGAGTTAAATCTAGTTATAACTAGAGTTAGGATGTTGATGACCTAAAAAACACACAAAAATGCCCTAAAAAAAATGCAAAAAAACCCTAAAAAAAGTGCAAAAATGCTCTGAAAACTTCAAAAAATGACCTTAAAAATTATCTAAAATACTAATTAAGTAAGTGAAAAAACTTATTTATAAATAATAATTTTTATTAGAGATATGGGTATAATAATGGGTGTAATAGTAATTTAAAATATGAATTATAAATATATTAAGCATTTAAATAATTCAATATATAACACTCAAAGAGTAAATCTTATCGGAACGCGATAAATGTAATCACAACAAAAACCCCACAATAATAATATTAAAATTATTTTTTACTAATAGTCCAAATCCAAAGTTAGATTTTAAATAAATTAAATTTGTTTCCAAACTTGGGTGTAACATTTGCCCTAAAATCTATAATTTGTAAAAAATGCTCTAAAAGATGAAAAAATGGCTTAAAAATGTTGAAAAAAGACGTTAAAAAACAAAAAAAATGCAAAATAAAATTAGAATATTCAGCATCAAGGGAGCATGAAACAAATTTTTAGCTAGGATAGCATTGTATAGAATAAAAGGAAAAAACTCCTAACTTTAGTTATAACTAATAAAAGTTAATATACTACAATATAAGTGCCATAATATTTTATATTTTTACATAAGGTATTAAATATTATTATGTTATGATTAAATGACTTTTACCAATATATTATTTATTTGTGAAGTACTTCATTAATATTAAACAAAATTAAAATTACATATTGTGTCTTGTATTTTTCGGCAAGATAAGATACATGATACTTGGTACTTTAAAATGATGTATCACTATACAAGATACAAGATACAATCGCATCTTTGATAATTTCCAACTCTGCTTACAAGCAGTGTTGTGCAATAGCTAAATTTAGTTAGATAAATTTATCAGATACCTTATCTAGATAAAACAATCGTATCTTTTATCTTCTCTAGATAAATTACACAATTGGTATCTACCCGTCATCTAAGATAGAAAACTTCGTCATCTAAATTAATTTATCTAGATTGTTCACGAGACGTAATCTGAAAAATTTATGAACATTATGTTTTCTGATATTTTTAAAATTGTATAATTTATTATATAATTAATTAATTATACGTATATATTTAGGTACCTAGTATTATTATTATCATTTGTCGCTAATGTGCACCACTTTTAAGAAATTAATAATAATTGTATTGTTGATCGTCGACAGACGACAATAGATAAGCTTAGCTTATTATATAATAATATTAAATAATTCAAGTCGAAGGTTTAAGAATAACCTGATAGACGATAGTACTGGGAAGTGGGAATATTGGTTTTATAATAGTTTAAAAATACCAAAAAATAATAAAAATAAACCACCAGCTCCACTCAGTCCCGGCGCATCCGAGTTGGGTCCCGAGTATTAGGGTTAAATCGCAGGTACTACACTAGTTGGGTCCAGGATATTGTTAGGTACTATACTAGTTGGGTCCGGGATTTTTTTAGATACTACACTAGTTGGGTCCGTAATTTTTAGAGGTACTATACTAGTTGGGTCCTGGATTATTATTTAAAATATTATACAATAATATTAATACAATTTTATTAAATTGAAAAGTAAATGAAAAGTACTTATACGTATATAATAATGTGACTATTATCGGATATTTCTCTCATGGATTTTTCGAACATTCGTGTAATAATATCAGTGTTATCGGTAATATCTGATAATTTTTGACATATCTTATAATAAACTATCTGGAACAGCGATAAATGCCGGTTAAACCTCGACGAGTTATCTATCAACATAGCTTACACGGTGCACACCTATAGTTACATATTGGTAGTAAGTGTTCTGCATTCTAACCACTAGCACTATGGAAGATTCTAACGTTATGTTCAGTGAAAAGGGCAAAAAAATATATATTATAGAAGGATATAAATTTTCATTTCACAAACTTCTGAAAAATGATATTGAAAGATGGAGATGTATTCATAGATCATGTAAGTCATTTTTTAAATATAACGAAAATCAATTTATTGATCAAAATTTGACACATAATCATAATTGTGATTCCGAAAAAATATTAAATAGGCAGATATTAAATAATAATTTAAAGAGAAAAGCTCAAGAAGATATATGTGAGAAACCTTCTAAATTATTACATTCCGAAATAAAAAACAATGATATAGATACATTAACACGTTACGATTGTACACTTATTAAAAAAAATATTCATAACGCGAGAAAAAATATTCTACCAAACATTCCACAAAGTTATGACGAGGTTCACAAAGTATTGAACGATTTAAATATAAAAACTAACAGACAAGAAAATTTTTTATTAATTAATGATAATCAATATAACATAGTTATTTTTTGCACAGTCGAAAATTTAAATTTTTTAAGTAACATGAACACATTTTACGTAGATGGCACATTCAAAAGTTGCCCAAAAATATTTATGCAAATGTTTACAATACATACAATACATAATAATCATTATATTCCACTTATTTTTTGTCTACTCCCAAATAAACAAAAAGAAATTTATACTCAAACTTTTAGGATGTTATGTAATGAATGCGAAAAACTTAATTTGAAATTTTTACCTCAAACAATATATGTAGACTTTGAAGAAGCTATTCATAATTCTATTTTATCAGTATGGCCGGAAATAAATATTAAAGGGTGTAGATTCCATTTAGGACAGAGCTGGTGGCGGAAAATTCAAAATTTGGGACTAACAAACGAGTATAAAAGTGATTCTGAATTAAGTAAATATCTCAAATATTTTTTTGGCTTACCATTTTTACACCCAGAAGAGGTGGAAAATTGTTTTATTGAAGATATAATGAGTATCCAACCGAACGACAGTAAAATTCGAGAATTCACTGATTATGTTTTTGATAATTATATTAATGAAGAATCGAGATTTCCACCAAAAATTTGGTCAGAATTNTACAATGCGAACCACAAATTCCTGCGAATCATTCCATTCTCATTTTAATTCTATGTTCTACACAGCACACCCAAATATTTATCAGTTCCTAGAAATTTTAAAAAACGTACAAATGGATACTTATATCAAAATGAGAAGTGTAGAAGTAATGAAAAAAAGAAACTACATTTTGCTAAAAGAAAAATTTATAGCTGACAATATGAATAAAAAAATTGCAGGAATAATCAATCGATTTGATTTTGTAAAATTAATGTCGTATAAATTTTTACCAACACACATGTGATTTTTAATATTTTTTAATTTACACCTATATGGCTATATTTATATTATGTAATATGTATTTTTATACTTTGTTTTTAACCTTTTAAATATTTTTACCAACACAAAAGTGATTTTTTTTTTTATAAAATTCTAATAACTTATATTTTAATGGAAAAGAAACAAAACAAAAAAAAAAAAACTGTAAAAAACATTTTTAACCATACCTGTGGTCTAAATAGATCATAGACAGTCCTAAGTCTGTTGAAATGGGAAGGAAAATGTTAGTATAGTGTAGTACTTAAATCCGGGACCGAACTAGTGTAGTACCTATAAAAATCCGGGACCCAACTAGTGTAGTATCTAAAAAAATCCCGGACCCAACTAGTATAGTAGGTACCTAAAATAATTCGGGACCCAACTAGTGTAGCAATTATAAATTTGGGACCCAACTCGGATGCAGCCCTCAGTCCACTCACCATTCGCCAACAACCTTTATTAATTAACCACTGCAAGTTATAAATATTTTATTTTTTATTATTCATTGCCTAGGTATGGAAAAAGTATCATAGCATCATAATTATTGAGTATTGACTAATGACTTCATTCATAACCGTCCGCGTACTCTGTATAGTACTATAATCTATTCAGTTCATTTTTTTTTATAATTATTCGTTTAAATAGTTTATAGTAATTTAAACTAAAATGTTATATATTATAGTCATAACTCATAATTGTATTAATATTTTCTACAAACCTAATATAAAAATAAAATTTAACAAAATCATGTTTTAAGAATATCATTTATAAAAAATCATCTCATTTTCATCTAGATAAAATTGATTTTATCTGTATCTATATCTAGATATATTTTAATTTATCTGTATCTATATCTAGATATATTTTAATTTATCATTATCTATCTCTATCTAGATATATTTTGAGTTCATACATCTTATCTATATCTAGATACAAAAAAATTATCTAAGCACAACACTGCTTACAAGTGCGTAACAGCAAATTTTATTCTCGGCAGAAAGTTTAGTTCCGTTTCGTTAAATTTAGAGTGAATTAACGTCTTATAAAATGTAGAGATAAGATTATTATCTAGGGCATCTCATACTTCTCATAGGCTTTTTAATTTATTTTAATTTTACAGCGAGTAATGAGCACCTATTTTAAGTTGAATAAACATTTGACAGTTTATAATTTTTAAATGTGATCTACTGAACTTACAATTTGCTATGTTACTCACTTATAAGATGGAGGCATCACATGCGGATGCCACATCCTCTTAAGGAACTAAAAAAATTAAATGATTTTCACAATGATGTAAAACTGTTATCAAATCGTTTTTTTTTATTTAACTATACATACATAAATTAAAACAGTTAATACCTAATAGGTACCTATAAAAACTATTTATCTATTTTTTAAGTGTCGTAGTATAACGGGAATATCCTTTGGAATAAGTATATTTTTCGATTGATCATATTATGGAGTTTTCAAATATATACCTACCCTTAGACAATCGGAATTTTATAATTAAAAAATACCTAAATATTAAAAATAAATATATTTAATAGGTTAAAATGCGATTCATAAAATTGTTCACACAAAATATTTACTTATCATTAACTAAGGTAAGTACTGCTTTATTTGTTTGGATATTAGGAATCAAAATTGTATTACTGCTTAAAACATATTTAGTTTTACAACTCACAGCAATTGTTAAGGTTCTTATTTTACTGAAAACATTTTGACAATATATTATCCTGGATAGGCTTACAATAGATTAGCTATCCAGAAATGTAATAAAATTACTTAAAATTAATTTTAATTAATTTAAAATAAGTAGGTAGTAACTGATTTTGTCGACTTAAAATTAAAATATAAATGCAATAGTTTGTTCGCTTTCATAGATGTAAGTACTTAGGTAGTACTAAGTTAGTGGCTACTACCCATATTTAGCTTATTATAGTAATTCATAATGAAAGTTACACTTTACAAATAAACGAATCAAAAAACAAAAAAAATAATAGTACCCCAAATTATGGAAATGAAAAATTATTTAAGTGATTACAAATTTATAAATAAAAGCTGAACATTATTAGAAATAAATGTATGGTTTTTGTTAGAGTAATATTTTGAAGGTATAGGCATTTTTATTTAAAGTGAAAATTAAATAAAATATTTTAGATCCCTATCATAACATCAGAAATAAAAATGCTTACTATGATTTTAGTAGTTTTTTACTTTCTGTTGTTTTTTTTTTTATTATTAAACTTAAGCTAGGAATCTATAGCCATTAGCTGTTTGTAGGAGGGAACAGTTGCGTTGGAACACGTACGTGTGGCAAAGTTTTCGTTGCTAAAAATCCCGGATGGTTACCCATCGGAGAACTAGCAACGCCGACCGGTAAATACACTCAGAGCGTTTCCGCAGATTGAGCGTACTCACCAAGCCACCTGTTGGCTGTTATGTTTAACTTGCCTGATATTCAACCATTATCACCTAGTTAATGTCAAAAAATGTACCGTTAATTCGCACATTATTGTAACTTAGGTGAAATAAGTTAAATTTTAAAGGATTTTTAACTACAAATGTGAGAAATAGTAAAATAGAACATTGAGAAAATAGAATAGACATAATATTGGAGTATAGGTACCTATATCGAAGTCACAGTGAACAATTACGAATAAAAGAGTTTAAAAACACATTTTTGATTGTTTGAATCAACTAGATGGTTTTTTTCAACCAAGTGTATATAAAAAATAGATACCTACAGACAAATAATAGCTGTATTAAATAAATAACATTCTTCAAAAAAATCATTACTTTTTAATAGAATAACTGCCTCGGACTTCGGTATTCTATTTCTTTTATGTGTGGTAAAATATAGAAATCAGACCAAAGAAAAAACCATACTACCGCCATTTTAAAATTTAAATTAAAATGAAAGTTTTAATCAAGTCCATTTTTATTTCTTTGCAGGTCATACGTTATATTCACTTATACACTAGGTATAAGCTCTATCATTTTGATTATTATTCCTGCTCCCGAAGAGACCGTTAAAATTGAATCATCTTGATTTGGTACTTACATAAGTCCTTAGGTTACTCATAATATTGTCGAGCTTAAAAAATTAATCCCAAAAAAATATGTACAATAAAGTCATAGATTTCCCGCACCACATCGCCTATCTTAACTATAAGTAAGTATATGAACGTTTATTTATGAAATAGTATATAAAATATCTGTAAAGCAATAATGATAATGATGATGATAATAATAATAATAATAATAATAATAATAATAATAATAATAATAATAATAATAATAACAAATGTTAAGCTTGTATAGCATAATACCTATGTATAAATCTCTCGCACCATTTGTACTTCAATATTGCCAAATAATATTAACGTATAATATAATATTATTTCGATAAATGATTTATTTTTTGTTGCTTTAAAATGTTATAGTTTATGCTCAAATACCTCCTACTTATATTATATATATAGTGTATAATATTATATTGTACAGTCAAACAACAGTCAACAAGTGTATACATATTGATTGTAACGCAACGGTTAATTATATTATGTTGAAAATAGATTCTAACGAAGTTGTAATGAGTCATGGACTCGAGGTAAGTTTGTTATGTATAAAAATAAAATAGTTTTTTGAAGTAAAACGAGTGAGAATTATGTATAACGTGCTAAAGTGGAATATCCGAATATTGTGTCGAGACTATTGCAGTCGTCGTCAATTGTCATATAAAATAACAAAAAATAATCAGTCTATTAGCATAGCACAACCACGTACAATATTTGTTTTAATATGATTTTGAAATACGAAATAATAAGTCTTACCTAAAATGAATATTTAATTTGATTTATGAATATATTGTATTGACATTTATTTCATTTAGTTTAAAACTGCGAGGCTTTAGGCCACTGGTCTTTAAATACATTTTAAATACCAATCGATCGATATAATTTATATTGATTAATTATAAACCCATGCATATTAATCGAAAGGTATTTTAAATCGAAATTCTGAAAAATAAATTTTGATTTGCAAAATCAAAATCGAAATCATATAAAAATTTAACGAAAACATTAATAAAATATCAATAGTTCAAAACACAATAAAAAAAAATATAAATATTTGTTTTGGTTTCAAGCCATGTAGGTACATTGTATGTACAATGCACATATTGTCAAAAGTACGTAACTAGTAAAGATAATATCTACAACAGAGGATTAACATTTAATTTGTACCTAATAACTACAATATGAGCTTATATTATATAATAAAGGTAGATAATAAGTTAACCAAAGAGTAATAAGTATACGCTTTCGATTAGATTGAGTTTGATTTCCTTGTTTTGTTTTGACTTTTCAGACTTAACCTGGAACAAAAGTTTAAATATTTAGATTTTAAAGTTTTAAAAATATATTGTTAGGAACTTAATGTACAAATTAACTTTACTTTATGTTCGCAATACATGATACGTAGTATATACACAACACACGAATGTAGTTTAGTTTGTAATTTTATATATCTATGGAAAATAAAGTCAGAAACTCCAGACTTAAATATTTTTCAAATTTTTTTATTGAGAATTATCAAATAGTGGCATGAATAAATAAATAAATTACCATATTTATCATTTTTTTTTCTGAAGGTTTTACTTTTTTAAATGAAAATATAATGATAAATTAAATCTTATAAATATTTAAAGTTTAAATGATTAGGCTATAGAGTTTCACAGGGTTACCCAACGAAATGGTAATCATAACCGTTTTGTAATGACTTCAAAGTTTAAATTATATAAAAAAAGAAAATTTTAAAAATGATAATATTTTTTTGAGATAATGAGAGTAATTTACTGTTTAATAAATCACTTTGTATAAGTTAGATCTGCAACATATAGATACTCACTCGTCGTCTCCTGATAAAATTTGCACCCATTTTGGATTCGGTGCTGCAGGTCCTCTTCGGACGACTCCTGCCGGACGTCCGCCACAGCATGTTAAATCTGTCGCATTCGCAAAACCATAATTACTATTTTTTTTCAACACACAAAGTGGACAACAAACTAGATTATTTTTCATGCGATTTTAACGTAACAACTGTTTGCTTACAAGTTTTTGGCGATCGATTTGTCCCCAGAGTGTTTGTCTTTTGACCCAGCCACAGGCCCGGTCTTAAAGTTCAACAGAGTCTGACCTTCCCCATAAACGATCTGTGCACAGTACATACAGATATACATAATATTTAAACATTTAAACCATAGCGTCTAAATAGGTAATTTGGAAAAAAAAATTATAGAAAATAATATCCGTACGATACCCATATATATTATATATATGTATATGATATATATACACACTTCTTTATATTCGTATGACGGAGTGTTGTCCGACGATTCGATTTCTTCGATCAGTGGTTCTAATCGAGCCGGTCTCTCTTTAGGCGTTGATGACGTTACTACTGGAGACGAAAAGAGCGTTTCGATTTTCCGGTCTTCCTGATAGTTCACCTTCATCGGGAACGAGAAAATATATAATTATGTTCATGTACGCACAAACCATATCTGACCTTATTGGCTTAAAAGTTTTAGAACTAATATTTAATTTTGAAATTAAAACTACTTATAAAGTGGGCAGAGAAATATTTTAATCAAAATGAAATAATAAGCACGAAGTTGTGTATAAGCTGTTGTGTTTGAATAAAATGGAGAAGGAATGTTCGAATGAAGAGATAAATAAATAATATTTGGTAGATCTTCAAAGACATTTATACTTGAAAATTGATAACGTCTTCTCGACTCTCACCAACTTAGCTACAATACGGTTATCGGTCGTTCATCTGTAGCAAATAATCCGGAACCTACCCCACCTCGCTCCCAGATCGCAACCCTTAAATTCGTGAATTCGAATGAGATGTCACCGTAATATAATATTATTGGCTGTATTTTAAAATAGAAACAATACTCACCTGTTGCTATAATAGAGACCTAGAATTTTACATAAACACTGAACCACATGTAGGGTTATATAAATATTTAATACACATTAATAGTGTTGTGTTTATCGGATGTCAAGTCGCTGCAGGACGCAGGTATAATATGTGAGATACAAAAACAATAAGGAAAAACGACCGCATTGTAGCTGAATTGCCTATCCAAGGCGCCGTGTGTTGTTAATTTTGTAAAAATGACTAAAAACTATATAATATAGTATTATAATATTATGATTTATGATTTAACGGTAAAATGATCGCAATGGAAAAAAATAACGGTCACCTCTTAACCGTGCATCGGGTTCTGAGTGTATCACCTACACTCAACTTGAAGCGTTTTAGTAATAATTATTTGCAGTTTAATTGGGCATTAAAATCTTTGCGGAGCAGTTCAAACACGCTTACAACGTTTCACTTACTTCGATGGATAGCGGTGATGTGGTGCTACTGTTTGGCGTTCCCCAGAATTCTTCGCTCGATGCATCGTAGTTGTAGTCTTCGTCTGTCGGTAGACAACAGCTGGCTGTAACTGGACAAAAGTCTTCCGGCCACCTGTAGCAGAAAACAAAACGAATGAAAATCACAGGACCTACAATAAAAAAAATATGCATTGGTAAAAAAACGATACACACCAATAATAGATTCGTAGATTTGCCTTACATGCACTAATAAGATGGCAAAAGTGTGGTCAGATCGAGAGGAGAAATAATGTTATAACACGTTAGCAAATTTGACTAGTATTTGAGTTGTTTTTAAATATTTTTGTGGTTATGATCAAGTTATTTTGCTACATTTATGATCATTAAACTAAATTCATAAAAATGTGTACATTTATCAAATACTTATAGAACTATACTAAACTTATTATAACTCAAACAATTTGAGTCCAACGGAATCAATTCTGCGTTATTAGTTTTAATATTGAAACAAAGAAAAAATCATTTTTTTTTATAAATTAGTATAATATAAGAAATAAAAACTAAATTGTTCGTCTTTTCAAAAAAATTATACGATCACTCCTTCTGTCTCAAATAGCGATCATACGTATACGAGTGACGTCACTGCAGGTGCGCACGGATTTGTGCCACCGTATTATTTTATACGGTAGATATTTACATGGCGCTTTATAAACACGTAATTTCTAATTTATCTATACGGCTAGGTATACTTATTATTAATTAGTAATTATTAATTGTATCGTTAATACTTAATTTCATAGGAAATGTGTTGTACAAGCTATTCGAAAAAAGTAACCTGAAAATAATGGAATATACGTAGGTTTTTAAGAAAAACACAACAAATAAAAAATTTGAATAAATTTGAACACCAAATTAATTTTGATAAATAAGTTTGAATAATATTAGTGTAACTCAGTATTCATTTTATATTTTAGTATTTTTTTCGGCTGAAGAATGATAAATATGACAATTGATAAATGATAATATCCTATGGAGCCTAGTTTGTTATTCATGTTATTCAAATGGAATTATCTAATAAGATATAAATACATTTTAATGTCAATAATAATAAATTATAATGACCTTTAGGGCTGTGCGATAGTATCGATTAATCGTTTTTAGCTATCAATACTATCGATTAATCGATGTTTTTTACTAAACATAAACAACCGATGTATCGAGTGCATCGATACTATCGGTTAATCGATACTATCGACGTAACGTAACTGTCAGTTATTCGAACAATCGGTACATAAAATACAATCGATTAATCGATACAATCGTTAGTTTTAACACAATTGACTATCGACCACTAGAAGTGACTATCGCGCAGCTCTAAATTGACCTTATAATATCGTCACAGAAATTAATTCACTCTTATATTTTGTATGTTTGAATGCACCATATAAACATTAAACATATTGTACAAATCCATACGCATCAGTGACGTCACACTATACGTACGATCGCTATTTGACACAGAAGGAGTGATCGGATCATATTTTTTGAAAAGACGAACAATTTAGTTTTAATTTCTAATATTAAACTAAGGTATAAAAAAAAATGATTTTTTTTTTCATGGTCCTTTACTCCTTTAAATACTTTACTATTAATATGCATAGGCAATTATGATATGAAATAATATTATTACCGGTAGTCGGTGGTCGAACAATACTCTACTCTGTCCAGACTGTCCGTCGAATGGTCGCGATTCGTGCCAGTTCTGTCCAGGCTGCACGTCGACGAAAACCGAGGTTGCAGTCGAATTTGTTGTTGTTGTTGTTGTTGTTGATAATGTTGTTGACTACTACGTTGTAGCGGCGGTGATGAAGCGAGCAAAGCGTAAGGTCGATCTGGTTCAAGTCCGTCCTCGTCGTCGTCGTCGTCGTCGTCGTCGTCATCGTCGTCCTCATCGAATACGTTATCATTATCATTTCCAGTATTGTCGTTGATGTTATTGTTATTGTTGTTGATAAGGCCAAAAGGTTCACAAGGGCTGAGGTCTGTGGACGTGGACACCGTGGATGGTTTCCATTTGTTTTCGGGATCCATGTCGAGGAAAGCGTCCGGCTGCTGGTTCCCGTTAATGTCACACGTCCTCTGACACTTGTTGCACACGTTTTCAGGCACAACGGTTCTCTGAACACAGGCGTGTTATGAAACAAAAGCAAGTCGGTAAATGTTCATGTAGGCGGTCGTTGCATCGCGTTAGGTTAGGGTAGGTCATAACATGTCGAAAAGCAAGTCTTGCAATTTATTTTTATTTCAAACGCATTGCTCTTCGGCGTAATGTGACCTACCCCAAATTAACTAAATGTTAAGAATATAAATTGTGTCTTTAAAAATAACTGAGCTCAATATCTGCGTTTAGTAAAGTTTCATATTGTGGTAATATAAAAAAAACCCGTGGACAATCGCCTAAATCCATGAAGATCGTTATAGTAATCATGCAACTAACAAAAATTCCAAAACTTAACATTCAGTGACCAGAGGTTGGAAACTTTATTACGATGTTTCAGTTTCAGTTTCTGGGTCATCTGAATATTATTTTTGGATTTTGGTTCTAAATTCGGTTCTATAAGATAATACTTCATGGTTCTGGATCTGAATTCGTCTAATTTCGAAGATGAATGTTTTTCAGGAGTTGGGTGACGATGTATTTATTGGATAATGACGTATGATAACTGATACTTGATTTACTTGGTAGGTTTATCAAAAGCAAATATTAAATCAACTAGGTAAATATAATATTATGATACTGAAATAAGTTTTTTTTTTCATTTAAAAACTGAAAAATACTGCTGTTCTATTATTTTTTATAACGAGGGTTCCTGCATAAGTTTTTGAAATTAATACATTTTCGTTCGAAGGCTTCTGTTTTAGTTCCGGTATTTTCGAAATATGCATTTTTCTGATTTTGCTGTCCAAACAGTATTTTTAAATGAATGCTCACCGACTACGTACCGCGTAGATTTAAGATTATTATTAATTTACTATCATAATATGTACGTACTTGGCTGTCGTCCGGACTACTGACCACCGACAATGTTTCCGCCGCCGTCGCGTACTCGATGATGGCCTCAACGCCGTCCCTGGCCGCCGCAGCCGACGACAACCGACGTTCGATCTCCTCCCGTTTGGCGTTCATCTGTTCCGCGGACCACAGTTCTAAGTCATCGACATCGTAACCACCGTCGCCGCTGCTGCCGCCTCCGCCGCCTCCACAACTGCCTCCGTCTAATAAGCCACCTCCGAGTTCGCCCTTTATCCACTGCGATATGTGCAGCGCCTTGCCCTTGTTGCACGTGCTGCTCTTGGTCATCCTCTGACACCTCTCGTCCACTAACGATGCGGCAAAAGTCTAGAAATCCACAGACGGAAAACGATGCAGTTGCATTTTTGGTGTTTTTTTTTTTTTTGGCCATTTTTCATAACGTTTATATCATGCTATATAGCTAGGCGTGTCGGAGGAGGTCGTCGGTACATACAGTGTGAATGTATACTGATTTCGCGTAATAACCACACATTATACATGGCTAAATAGTATAATATATTATATACGTGTACCTATGTGTATACCTATATGTATAGGTACAATGCTGTTTATAATATGATATATTATTATATTAATCGTGGGTCATATTTTGGGTTTAAAAACACTGCCTATTTCAGTAAATTTAAACAGACATAATCACAAAACTGAAGGAATAAGAATTAATAGTTATAGTTAAATAACTATATATGACGTATCATAGACATTTCAGTTGAAATCGTTTGAAACATGTGCAAACAAAAGCACAAAAGTTGACTGTGCAAACGACAAAAAGTAAACACCTCGTGTCAGGTATATTTAGTGGTATACAGTACACCGAGGTATGAATTACTAATCTGTGCGAAAAAAGTAGGTATACAATATGCATGCAGTCTTGTAAAGAATAAGTTTATTTTGTACTCGGAATTCTTTTATAAATAAATGAGTGAAATGTATTCTAATGCAATTTTTTTGTTAAATAAACAAACCAACTATTTTAAGGGTTGCAACATTACAACGGCTACACGATGAGCTATAATCGAGGTTTTTCGTTTTCGTACAAAAGTTAATCTTGAAACAGACCAGTGGGTTTTAATTTATAAACACAAATATTTTATGCACTATATTTTTTTTCGAGAAAAAGTACTCGAACATAAAAAGGAGAAAAGAAGATAATTTCTTTCTGTCCAGTATAGGTATAGAGTGTACCTCGTCATTGAGTAGTCACTGTAATGTATGTGTTAAATTTTGAATTCAAAGATAAATTATTGGACAAGAAAAAAGATTTCTAGCGAGAACGGTCTATCAGTCTGTATTCCTAAGTATATTTTATGACATATTTATATTGCTAACATAGTAATTAACTTTACTATTAGTAATAAGATAAGTTGAATGAATTTTTATTAAAACCATTTGATTTACTATCAATATTTGGTTATTATAAAAGTACCCATATGACTATATACTTATATCAAAAATAATTACTGTTATTGACTTTTAAGTCAATATACTGACTTACCGTAAAACGGTGTGAATAAGTCTGTGCCATAAATAGGCAATAGCATAATATTAATCTTTTTGTTTTGAAAAAGTCGTTGTGTATATAAAATGTAATAATATACGTGAGATTATCAAATACCCAAAAAAAATATTTTTGTATTACATAAGGCGTAATCTTCGTTTAAATATCTAATTCGTTCAAATTTCAAATTAAAATGTTTGTAAAAATAATTGTGCCTTGTTTTTTTGGTAATTGTATGAACTATATATGAGGAACCATGTATTAAAGTTTCAAGCCTTAGATATAAAAATTTAGCACTTAAAAAATATTGACCTATAAAACCATTTTTAATTTTCCATGAACTTGAGAAATGTTGTAAAAAGTTGAACTTCAATGTTTATAGAAAATTGGGCCTATGAATCTTTAATATGGTTATAAAACGCATGAGGAACTTTATATTAAGTTTTCAAGTTTTTGACTGGGCAAAAATGTATAGAACATTTATAGAAAAAAAATTTTAAAATGTCAAATGTCTTTAATAGCTTCAAATATTTTGAGAACTATATGTTTATAAATATATTACAATATAAGAAAATCGATTTTGATGAATTATTGTTAAGAGCAATAATTCCCACTTTTAATAATTATTAAGAAAAACATATACTTAAGTAATGGGGATTGTTTACTTACATCCCAGAGTACCAACTAGATTAATTTTTCTACCAGAAAACATATTGAAGTTGAAAATCAAATTATTTTTTTCTACTTTAAAATGTATGTCCAAGCACACTGTGACACAAAAAAAACTGCATATCATTGTAAAATTAATGCATTCATCACTTAGACCAGAATCTAAAAAATTAACGTATTCGGAATACGTATTATATGTATTTTAATATTTTATTTCTTCAGATTAATATTCGAATACAAAAAAAAGTATTAAAATACTTTTATTCGAATACTTTACAAGACATGTATGCATAAGTTGACAATAATAAATTTGACCAGCTTACATTATACCTATTATTATAAATTAACCATGTTATGATATTTTATGTATTAACAGTTACATATTATTATAGGACCTAAACAATTATAAGCGTTTGGCGGTACAACATGCTCTTAAGTTCTCTTTATACTACAGCGTTGTATATTGATCGATCGATGATTTTTCCCGTAAAAAAAAACTCGAATTGCGTGATATGATGCGTGCTGATAAAAAAGCTCACGCTGATGCACGTGTCATCCTTTTTCTATACACATTATGATGTACCTACTGCTGACATACACAAGCGAAACTATATGTAGACATTTTGGATTATCGGAATGCTGCATTTATAAGGACATAAGATATTTAACAGACTGTCACCCGAATCGTTTATTTGTTTTAGAAATCAATCATTTCAATAAAACTCAATCATTTCAAAATACATTAATTCAACTAGCCCAGCAGATACAAATAAGCGCAATTACGATACAGAATGAAATAAAAATAAAAAAATTCCTAATGATTGTGTTAAATTCTTAAATTATAACTTAATTAATTAATACTATCTGAAAAGCTAAATATAAAAGTGGGTTACAATATGTCGATAAATAAAATCACTAAACAATTAGTCATTACAGTTATCAATTTTGATAGCAATTGGAAATTGTCATAACTAAACAGTATGTAGGTACTATACATACTTAGCTCCAACTTAAAAAAAAAAATGGTCCTTGTGGTGCATCAGGGTTATTGAAATATCTATATTCGGCACCGGTTATGTTATGAATATAAAACATGGTCATTGTACAACCATCACTCGAACACAGCTACTCGTTCGTGAATTATGCACAAATATAGGTACGAATACATAATTATGCACAAATTGTGTGTTTCAAATATTCTATAATGTTGTAATTAATAGTTAAAATATAACGTTATATATTTGTACATGTTTAATTGATTTATAACGACTCAACACTAGTTACCCTTTGGGTAATTTGGGTTCAAAAACTATATATAGGAAACTTTAGAAATATAAATTCGTCTTGTGCAGGTACAACTGTACCCGGAAACGCATGGAACCTATATGCGTATGCTCGAATGCTTATTTTAATATTATTGTCCACAGTCTAACCTCTATATGGATGTACTGTATTAGTTATGAAAGATTTTGAGTCGACTTTGAAAAATAAAAATCAAGGGGTGCAAAAACAAAGCCATGTCAACTGCAGGTGGTATGTTTACTTTAAACCACAGCGCGTCGTGCTTTGGATTGACAAATCTTTTTCGGCCACGATGCTCGTGTGACCTGGTGCAGTATATTATATTTGCATAGCTTGTAGTAACATCACACACTTTATAATAATATATCAACGGAAGTTTTTGTTTAACTCAATGCATCAAATAATCAAGCACGAATGTGTTGTGCATGCTTAAAAAAATAATATTACAGGTAAAAAACACATATCTGCACATTCTCGCACACTCAAGAAATCGTTTTAAATATACGATTTTTTTTTTTTGTATACATGCATTGTACATTATTTTTCCCTTAATATAAAACCGTCGTTCATCGTTCCACAGGCATTCTTCGGCGAGGTTGCTGTAATAATAGCTGTAAACAAGAAAAATGATCCAGCTACTATCTAAACGGTAACAATTGATTTGGTGATTTTAGAAATCGTTTTGTGCGCAAGAAGCATCATGGTCTTCTGCAGCTGTGAGATGAAATAAAACGACATACTATTATTATTTATTATTATTATAAACAAGGCGATTTATTGTAAAGCTTAAAAAGCACTTACGTGTTTAGAAATATTTTTTTTATTTTTTTTTTTCACAGTTTTAAGTAATTTTCAAACGCTTTTTTTGAAAGAACAAATAATGTTCTCAATAACAAAGTTATTATATTTTTTTTAGTTTTTAAACGTGTCGAATGTCTGCATACTTTTTAAATATTCCGAAGCAAAATATCTTTCTGAGAATTGTAATTCAAGTTGAGAAGAATGTTTGTGACAAAAATATTTTTTGTAATGACTTAAAACTATGTGAGAAAAATAGTTCCGAAAACGTTAATACTTATCATTATAATGAGTATACCATTAAAAGATTCACATTGCTTAGTAAAATAATTGTCGTTAGTGTGAAAAGTTTTTACCGTTTAGATAGTTCTAAACAATGAGTGTAAAAAAAAAAATTTGACCGTATTCATTGTTTGAAAACATTTTTATTCATTGCAATTTAGTACAAATATTTCAAATTTAAATTAAACTACAAAGATAATTTACTATCAAAAACGATATGTTGACAAATACAAATCCATCACGTAGACAAGTTGTTCAAAACTTTCGGGACGGAAACATTTACACTATACAAAACATTTTAGTTTAATACGTATATATATCATGATAATATATGACATTTACGAACAGCGAACTACTTAAAACGTAATATAGTATATTATAATTTTTAATATATCTATGTTTTAATATTTTTAAAATATTATAAAAAAATGTATTTTCAATAAATATATACCTATATTATAGCAAATATATTTTATGATTATGTACACTATGAAATTTAAATATCATTAAGGAAGAACAAGTTCACGAAACTCGCCAAAACGAAATTCCATTGGCTAGTATAAAGTTTTACAAAAAAAAAAAGACAGGCAGTACCGGAGTCTATTAAAGGTATTATATTATAATAATGTGTCTATAATTAATATTACTCTAAAAACGAAATTGTAGAGAGCTACACGCTAATAGTTTTAGTAGTATACCTAATTATTTATAATTTAAGCGGTACAATATCATAAGTGGATGTGTATTTATAAACATAATAATATCATAAATTATTATTATATTTTGTTAATGAATTTATCGATTTCGATGTTTCAATATAGCATTATCGGTTTACAACTACGCAGTAATTAGACTTACAAATACAGTAATTAATCATAATGCATGTATACAAATATTATTATGTGAGTGATTTTATCATGATCCGCCTATTCCCGGCGTCAAATAGATGCTGGCGCCCTGTGCTCTAAATGTTTACTCTAAACGGCTACTAGATAAACTGGCAAAGCCACTACGGTATTCAAATAATAATATTATTTCTACGCTGAATATTAAAAATATTATTGATTACGGGTATTTAAAATACATATTGCAGTGCCAACAACTATACGTATACAATATTAATATTATTATTACTGCTGCCGTTCTATATAACATAACATATTGTATGAAATTATTTTTTATATAGGTATAATATATTTACACTGCAGTGACGTATTTGAGCTGTGATTGGGTGGGTGGGAGTGGGCGTTGATCTTTTTTGTATGATAATTATTGCATCTATTTACTATATGATGATGAAATTGTCTGCTTATATAATATGTATAATAATAAATAAAATATCAAAAAATCATTTGTGTAACAGCTGGTGATCTACTACGGGATGGTGCAGATCTACCAATTCTATGCAAGTGAGATCTACCACAAAATTGAAATAAGTACAATTTATAATTAATTTCCTATTAAAAAGAATGAATTCAATGTTGTTAAATTCTAGAAGTCGACGAACGGGGTGGGGCGTGGAATGGTAGCTGTCCGTGTCAAACAGTTTTGGTATTAAAAAAATAATAATAATCACCCCTCCTTGGATGAGCTTCAGATACGCCACTGAACAACATATAATTAGTAAGACATGCATTAATATACAATCGACATAAGTTATGTATATAATATTTTAACTGTGCAGCTATTTAGGAATATGACAACTATAATATGTAATATGTATGGTTCGCTACATAATATGGTCGTTCGTCGTACGGATAGAAGTTATGGGTACGGTTAACATATTTTATATATTAACGGAAAATATAATAATACTATATAGGTAGCTTTCATTTCTAAATAAAAAAAATCTGTTGAGGCGTGCCTCACCTTTATGTAATATTATAATTTTTAACGAAGTCCGTCCACACTCGACATTAAAATGGAAAATCGCTGCGGTTTCATCAAAGGAGTTTACCTATACCTGCTGCATCACGATAATATATTATTCAATATGCAGTGCGTTATAGCCAACGAATAGAAGAGGTTCGATAATTGGTTATTTTGGGTTGATTTTAATCAATTAATTTAATACCATTACTTATGATTATATTATTGATTGTTAATGGTTTATCAATTTACTTTTAGTAGGTAATAACTATTACTATGTATATTATTTTATTCTATTAAAATAAAAGTTAAAATCTAAAAACGATGATGATCTTTTTTTAAATTATTACTACGAAAAAAAAAAATTTTAATTGTGTGAATATCAAAAAAAATTGTGTAAGGGACGATCAATGTTTTTGGCAGTATCTTGTTCGTGTCATCGACACCGAGTGCTTTATATATTACCTATACGATCAGCCGATCGATAATTAAAACGACATTAAATGTTATTATGACTGTTGGAGCACCCTATATATTTTTTGCCGTTTTAGACCAAGAAGTGGAAGGTTAGTTTATGTACTTATAGTATGTCTGATTACAGTTATGAATGACGTTTGTGTATGTATGAATTTACTGTAACTTCTTCTTTAAGCAGGCTTTTTTCTACTTCTTTCTTAGATTATGTAAGAAAAATATTTATTGTTTTTTTTTTATAATTTTACAACCTTAAGATCAAAAACATGAATATGATTTTCAATTCCATGTATCTATTAAGCTGTGCACGTTAAATATTTATCTTACAAAGTTTAATCTGACTGCTGGTGGTAGTATAATGTAGTTGAATTTATTTTTCGGTTTAGTAGTTTCCACTAGGAAATTAGTGAGCTGGGTAATTTTAGAATTTCAAGCGGTCTTGGCTCTCTCGCACTAACGTTCATTAATAATATATATTATATACACTTATACAGACACTCCGCATACGTACGTACAACATACAATAATAGATTGAAAATATTTCAAATTTTCGGCTCCAACAGCCTTGATAACAATAATTATTATTGTTATGTGGGCAATTCATTTATACATAACATATATTATGCAGATATTTATATTATTATATACATCGTGTATAAAGGCTCGTAAGTGTATAATGACATAATATTATGACGTGTGCGATTATCGGCGAGCACACGATTCGCACATATTTTACGGGTTAGGGTCGTTCCCGGGCCCGAACGGCAGCAATAGTGCTATCTAGAACCTCGTGGGGCTGCAGCATCTATTCGGCCGGGAAACCGAATCTCAGGACGGCGGACGGACGGGGTAACGGTCGGGTTCGGTGCCGGTAGGCGTGGTCGGGTTGCTTAGCGAGAGCTTACACTGTACCTTTAGCCTGTCCGCGTAGACGTCGTCGTCCAGTGTGGCCAGCGAGTTGGCCAACAGGTCGTCCGGCGAGTCCGGTGGTTCCGACGACGACTGTCCCCTACACTTACCGTCCGGCCCGAATGCGTTTTTGTCCATTGTCAGTCTATGAAACGCAAACAAACAACAATAATGTTTATACATATTATAGTTACCGTTTTACACGATAAGAATATAGATTAATACAAAATACACAATATATTATGTAAATAAATAAATAATTATTGACGATCTGATTATTTTTGTATACATTTATGGCGTAGATTGCATCTTCCCCTCTAATCCCTGAATGACCCAAAAAATTACTGTCTAAGTAAATTTGTTTTGTTCCGTATCTACAGTTTAAAAACGAAACTATCATTTTGAAATAACTCTTTAAATTGTTTACTTTTATAGCATTTTTTGGAATTTTAAGGTCATTTTTTCACAGTGAGTATTTTTTCGTTTATGTTTTAGAAGAATAGTTACAATTTAATTAAAATTTATTATAAGCCACAATACAAAAAAATTAATTAGGGGTTATTTTTTTTTTTTTGCTTCATCGTTTGAACTTATAATTTTTTTTTTAGCTTTATACTAACAATTCTATGAAGCTAATAGTTACATTATTTACAGTCGTGACAACACTAAATCACCTGAATTTAAATAATACAAATAGATTTTTGTTTTAATCATTAATTTAATATTTAAAATAATTTTTAAACGTAATTTTCTTATTTCTTAGAATATTAAAATCCACTCTTGAATTATTATTATACTATTATTACTCTAAAGTGTGTATTATGTCTGGAGAAAGGTTGTGTTAATGGTTTATGCGTGGAGGGGAAGGGGGTAGTGTGGTAGTCGACGATTGGCTTGTAGGTTTATTTAATAATTGAATATGTAATATATTACATTATAGTTGAAGTGGCAATAATGGGCATCGTTTAAAAATTGCAGCTGTTCAAAAAAGTTTTATTCGACCCTGCACTCCCTCTTACCCCATGAACCACATCGACGTACTTCAAGCTCGTTCATTTTAATAATATTATCCTTTTAATACGCATTGCACCAGACGAGGTGTCAGGAATTGCCGACCTGTTAAAAATCCATAAACATAAAAGTGGGTTTTTTTAATGTTACGTTAGTTATGATTCAACAATACCGCCTGTGTTTATATGTTCTATATTTTAACGAAACAATTTTGTTCAATTTTGATGGCATCATTTGTCGTATTATAATAGTACCTAACTTCCTTAAACAGTTTTATGTTCCATTATATAATTTTATTATAATATATAATTCACATTTGAGTAGGCACTATACCACTGATTGACCATAGACAATCACCCGCGATTGTACCTATAATATAAGTAACAACCAAAAGGCACTACTTGAAACACGAAGACGGTCCTATAATACTCCTAACATAAGTACAGGGTCGTTTTGACTTTGCGTCTGAAGACTGATGTGGGTGGGGATTGCACAAGGTCTTAAAATGATTCAATATTGTTCAATTAGTTCCCAATGGGAAGATGTCACACGCGTCGCTTACATTTGTCTCTGAATGAGATTTTGCCACACAGCTTTCAGTTCGGCCTTTGGCGCTCGGAGCACGATCACTCTTCCTTTGTTTTTCGGCAATCTTGAAAGAGTTCCTGACAGATCGGCAAACAGAGGACTGCATCCGGTCATGGCCGGACTACTGTGACACGACGACGTATCCGACCCACTGCTAATTACCAACCGGAATTCGGTATCTGAAACGACGAAAACGCGCAGTTTAAAAATGTGTGTTATTAATAATTAAATAACTATACATACACAGTCGTAGTTTTTACACGCGAAACGTCAACGCTTTAGAATAATAATAATAAGTATTATTCCACCCTCTCACCCACGAATCAAATAAACTTTCTCCGTGCAGCGGAAACCGTTACAACACCGTTCCGTTTATAATATTTTAATAAATAGAATCGAGTTTGATTAAAAATACTTTGCAATAGGCAGAGATTAGTGATGTCTTATAGATACTTTTGTATACTGCATCTTTTGTAATTTGTTAATTTTGTATCAAGTTACTTTTTTTGTGTCTTGTATCGCATTTCTTATGGACACTATAGATATCCAAATTAAGTGATTTAATATTATAATATTATAACTAAAAGTTTTTTTTTTAATTAACAAAGTACTGAATAACTACAATTTTTAATATTTATTGTAATTTGAAGCGTACAATACAAATTACTTATGAAATTTAAAAAAAACAACCATATCACACCCAATCTAACCTAACCAAATAATGGAGTATACGTAAACCCCTACAATAGCTGATATGGAGTATAGATAAAGGCTATATTTATGTATACCTAAGTAGGTAATTGTTTTCATATTACTATTAATCTCATTAAAAATAAACTTATCTACACCTGGCATCATAGATTACCATACGTGTATTTTGAATTTAAATTATATTATTATATTTTTGTAGGTATATTATACAAATACTTCTAATTATAGTGTAATTATTATTTGAAAAAGTGTATTTATAGTACCTATCTAAAAGCAATAAAAAGGATCTTTTGGGACATGTTGAATGTGTCTTGTATGTCTAAAAGTATAAATGTATCATGTATGTATCTACTATCTAGTATTTCACCGATCCTTGGCTATAGGTAATTTATTTGTGGCTTACGTCCGTTAGACGGTGCGAGTGTATTTATTTGTTACCTACTTAGATTTAAAATTGTTTTTTTCAAAAAATAACGTACTGGTGAATCGCGTTCACTATATTATAGTATGACATCATATTCACTTACCTTTTTTCTTGACAGAGAACTGTGTTTGAGCAATCGAGGACAGCGGCAAGGGTTCGTCGGTTACAAATAACACGCGGTCCCTGCTGACTTTGGTGAACAACAAAATGTCGGAGAACAACAGCGCCCAGTACGACCTGACCGACCGTCCTTCAACGCGGCTCAGGTCGCCGGCGAATATCCAATGACGGTCCGGCGTGTTCAACGTAAAAGGCTGCCAAACATCGAAACAATTATTATGGAAAACATGATGTTACACTAAAACATGATTTATTGTGACAATTTGACGATAATTTAATGTCGCCGTCATTGCTGCGGTATACTGACCTTGCACCTGGTGAATACCAAACGGGCTTCCAAATCGTTGAGCGACAGTAAAGGCTTACCGTCCACTTCCGGTTCCATCAAACCGGATTCCACAGTTATGAACCGATATGTCGTCTAAATAGATAAAATCAATATTATCACCGCATACAATATTATTGTTATGGCGTTTAAATCAGGTATTGGCCGACATCGTCATGCGGTCTATTGTAGTTTGATTGCATCGTTTACACAGCGAAGAACTTACTACTAATTTGTTTTTCTTATAAGTAAAATGAAACAAACTTTTGTTCATATATATTACATAACACGTTATATTCTCCGGTTCTCTATGCCTCTATATATACTTCGAACGAAACGCGATGTGCATGTTACTGACGTGGTGACAGATATTTTTATTGTTTCGGTCAGCAATATTATTAGGTATATTAATATTGTCAAAACTGTTGTATGGATGATAATATTTTAATATTTTACAGATAATTGTTTGACCACATTAAATACTCGACCCAAGTTAATCTTTATTATTTCAATCGGCTCTTTCACCTTTAAAAATAAATATTGTGTAGATGCTAACTTAGGCAGTTTTGTGAATTCAGTTAAAATTAAATACTTTACCCTAAATACATCAATATTTTCACACCTCAAACATATGAAGTATCTTATTATATATTGCGCAAATAAGTATTACAGCAGTGAACGTTATTGTTAGTATACCGTTGGCTTGTGTAGCATAAATTTGCCATCTCGTTATGTACGTAATTGATATTTATTTTTTAATACATGTTTAAACCTCGATGTGAATACCTACACCAGTGACCTGCCAGTTGGAGGGGTTGGGGGCTCCAGCTTTACCAGGCATTTCTGGAAACTGTATTATTAACATTCAATACATGATCAGTGCTCAAATTTGTCCAGGAGAGAGTTCTTAAATTTATTTTGCGAACCTCAACTCAACATTTTTTATTGGAAAGGGACGACGACACAACCTAATCCGAATTCATTTTTCATCAATTTTTGATTTAAATTTTTGTCAATGATACTGACGATAAATTAACGACAAATGTACAACATATTTTAATTTCTAATATTTATTATTTAGTTTAGGGCAGTGAGGCTATTGGATAAAATGTCTGTTCGCGCCACAATGGTTCTACATGGTTCAATAGTCAATCCGTTTGAGACGGCCAACTCCTTCTGTGCAACTCTGAAGATCTCTCTTTTGGCCGAACACAATAACTAACCCACAGAATATATTCTATAAATACATTATGGGTACTCGTATTGTCTCTTTTAAATAAGGTAATTAATCAGTAACTAATAACTTCGTAGATGTTTTGATCATAAAATAAAATTACTTTTTAATCGACAACAAAATAGAATAGATAAATATTTAGGTTATTTAGTGTAAATCCATACTATCACTAATAAGAGTTATATTTTTAATATATATATATAAAGGAGAAATGTAATGTTTAAAAAAATAGTGATGCTGAAAAACTAGAGAAGCCTGTGGCCTGTGAGAAGTTTGAGGAAAGAAACCTACAGATCTGTATTAAATAATTTTGCACTTGAAACGCAGTTCGAAATTGTAGGATTGGTCTACTTTACTTAATTTTTAATTATTCGGGTACTGTACATGAGATTTCATCACCACGAGGAGTAAATATATCTTAATAACTCTTAATGTTTACAACGAAAATCGAAATGTTAATATACTTAAGTAAATGGGGTGAGTAAATTCTATTAGTTTATTCAGTCTATCAGCTAGATTCAACTATATAGGTATCACGTGTACCATATAGTTATGTGAGTAGTACATTTTCGTATTTTATACATTTTTTTATGACATTTGAAATATTTTCAGTGATAAAGAATGATATTATTCAAATATTACCTGCATTTCGTGGACTATATGTGACAACGCTTCAAAACCTTCGTCGTCGTGTTCGGTATTGATTTGAATGAGTTGCATGCATTTTAATACGTTTCTGTAATGCTGAAAACAATATGACACAAAACAAAGAGTATGTAATATTATGACGTCGCGTACCATAGTCTATAGCTACTTCACATATGTAGTGTTTAATATGTTTTATATGTAGTGTGCAAGTTTTATAAAAATACGATATAAACGGGTAGGTAAGTATAATTATTATTGATAAAAGATTCACCAAAGCACTGACGATATAAAACAATCAACGAAAACACACATTATGTATAATAACAGTATATATTATTAAGGAAATTAATTTATATAACCTAATTTAAGCCTCAATTAAATGAAAGCCAAATACAAAACAATGTATATTAATAACTAATGGCCTAGTAGTTGATGTTTTTACGAACAATAAAAAATTATTAACAAATAATTTCCACAAGTACACGTGTTCCGACCAAACCGTACCCCCTCCCCCACAGTAAAAAACCGGCCAATAACCCAAGTTGATGCCATAAAAATAAAAATAATTGTACAAATTTTAAATTACATATTATGTATAAACATTATATAGAAAGATTCACTGTAAGCATGCTCACCGCGCACTCAGAATGTTTCGTTTAAAAACGAATTTATTCATATTTTGATTTATGGAATTTTTATCTACATATCCTTCTTAGGGACCATATCTTCAAATACTTTTTATACTATTTCACTATTTAAGGAGTGTCACTTGGCTATATCATTTTTTTTTTATGAGAATCACTATGCTTTTAGCAGATGTTTGACGCTTTGAGCAGATGACTCTTTTTAAAACTACAGTGGATGGATATAAATCGGAAGGTACTAAGATTATTAGTTAAATACTCAATGATAATATCTTTGGCAGATAAGGGGGTTAATGATTTGACAATACGAGTGTATACTCGTACCTATTTGTTTACATGGGATATGAAGTATGTCCTAATTTTTTCTCTAGATTGAGAATCATCTCTCTGTTAAATCTGCAAAATCAAAGTTTAATTTTACTTGAGTGCCTATTATTGTAAATTTTGTATTTACAGACTGTATAATAATATCATATTCTCAATACAATCTAAAAACAGAGCTACCGGCTTTATACGAATATATACACATTGTTACGCCTAATCTATTATATTCGTTATTATAATATATGGATATGAGAATATATATTATTGGACGTTTAAACATGGCATTTTAGAAAACGTTAATCGATACACAGTGAAAAATCGATAAAATAAATTATCATCTTTGATCATGATACTTGATGCACCCAGCTGGTAATGAGTTTAATATTATGCAGGTATAGGTACTTACCTCCAGTGGCTTGTGAATGAACGTGATCAAATCCGGCCTACGGTCGGGTATGGGAGGGTCTTTGATCAGCTCCAAAAAACTGGGATTTCGTATTTTTTCCACTAGCACGCAATCCGCTTGAATGATGCCTTTGCAGTACTTGTAATAGGCACCGTTGATCTGATCGATTTTCTTCACGTATGCCTTGCACGTGTTCCGCGCCAGCATTTTCCAGTCGTTGTCGATTATACGCTCCAGGGTGTCTTCGGTGGTGCGCAGCAGCTAAGGGACGACAGATTAATACGGAAAATTATATCATAATCGTATGTATTCCCGGAGGCGTGATCCCAGGAATTCTCGGGGGAAGGCTTGTCGTCGCGAATACCCACACTTAAATGCGGACGACACGATATCGCTGTTATTTCATATTTGGTATAATAATACATAAATATGTTTGTAAAGACTTTAAACGTAAAACGTTAAAGTTCTGTGACGTGCCTCACCATATCGTAGCAGTACTAATGGGTGAAATATTTATAATACATTCGAATGTACAGGTACACGAGTAACTGCAGAGTGAAGCGATTCGATTATTTTATTCTGGGCGGGTTTATCTACATTATCGTGAAGTGGAGACGAATTGAGATTCAAAAATTTGGCTATAGAAGTATTTTATATCTAACGTCTAAAATTTATATCTATAGAATAGCCAATAGGTATGTTTTTTAGATTATTATGATAAAAAAATGTATTTATAGTTGTACCCATTTGTTTGTAAAGGTCTTAATAATGCTCGATTTTCATTAAAAAATAATGACCTGAGCGTACTTGTTCACATATGCTATAATTAAATAATTTATTTAATAGCTATCATACCTATACAATTGTCATTGACTACACATACATTTATAATGTATAAATATATATTAAAGTAATAAAACAAAATGAAAAATAAAAAATAACCCTGAAAGTCTAAACCCTTCACCGATTTATCATTTTGAATAGCTTTGTTTTACGTCGTTATAAGTGACTAAAATACAAAATACACATAAGTCATAAATACCCATATATTATGTGACATATACGTGAAAAAAGAGAACCCGCTCTTCATAGTTCCGTCTTCACGAGTTAATTGAAAAATAAGAGCGATGCCGTGTCGTCGATTAAGTCCATCATAATTATAAAATGTTTAATAAAATAATTTTATATCATGTTGTATGCATACCTCTTGAACGTTTTGAAATAGCGCCGCGTGTTCTTTGGACTTGAGCACGTCTTTGCGTTCGGCCAACGGCAACAGATACCTCCCAATTCCGAATTGTAAACATAACACGAACTGTTGCTCGGCCGTGAGAAGTTGATGAATCCACCTCAGTTGCGAGTCCATATCGCCGGAAAGGTTCTTAACAAAAACGTTACGGTACATATTTTAATCAACATCAAAGCCGTATCTTTTTACACCATATAATAAGATGTGATCATTTACAGCTAGATTTTCTAACCCAACCCAACGACGGTTGACTGAGCAGTGAATATGACTATTATTATGATCAAAAACTTAAAATTTTCGCATGCTAAAAAAATTGTCTCGAATAATAAATAAACTATAAGCTTATAAATGAGATAAATGTTCGTAAAAATATTTGTTTGATAATGCAAAGATAACATCACGAAAACAATCAATATTTGACCTATATACGATTTGATAGATTTATTAGCGACCCAGGTTCAAACACATATTGAAGTAATGAAAGCCATATTCGCAGATGCGCTTCTTCGTCGTACAAGCGACAGTTTCAGAGTTCAAAAACTCGAATAACGTGAAATACACCTAAAAGGTCGACTGCAGATTAGTGGTAAACAAGCGTATAATGATAAGTACCTACACTGATTAATGGTTATAAATAAGTTAAAATAACATTGTGAATTAAAAATATTTGTTGTGAATATTGATAAAAAAAAAAACAATAAGATTAATGCTTAACAAGTCGATAGAAAAATACGATATATGAGACAAATACCAAAGTAGATTTAAAATTCAATGAACCATCTTGATGAGTGACATTAAAGTTAATATAAAAAAATTATATTTTTACATATTGAAATTAAAAAGAGCAATATTTGTAACTAAAGCATGATTGTATATTTGTATGTGTAACATACTAACATTAATACGATTATCCTATATGTATTGGTCTTTTTAAATGTAATTGCTTTTGAATTTAATTACGAAACATGAGTAGTACTCATTGAGTACCTATCATATATTTGCAAAATGTAAAATAAATATTATAAGTTGTTGCATAATAATTTTTAAATAACCGAACTGCTCTAGTCAAGTCGATCCGAAATGAATTTTAATTCCATATTATTTTAATTTTATTTCCGCCATTTTGTCACATTTAAAATTCAAAATTATTTGTCGAATAGTTGTTTGTATTTATCATTTGCGTACCCAAAATTCAAACATGAGAAATATAAGCCTGTAAAATACATATTATTAGGATTTAAGTGCCTATACTAACATTTTACGGCCATAAAAGAAGTGGACATTTCAAGTGTACGCATTTCGCACCGAGTTATTGGAACGTATACATATTATTGTATAGTCGCCGAATAAATTGAAAAGAGTTATACAATATGATATTGGCCCAGTGACAGTTTTTGTTTATTTAAGTTCAAACCATTTTTCTGCCTTCATTTCATTTACATATACGAGTACCTATACGTTTTTTGCGTCCTCGCTAAAACGATTCACCGTTACGATTGTAATTTAACATAATACGATTAGGTTAAAATAATAATTTACATTAATAGTACGATATTGTGTAATATTGTTTTCCTCGACGTCATTCCAGGTTTTTTTTTTCGTTTCTAGCCACAGGGCCTTTTCGAATGAACGTCAAGTCATTGATTTTTAAATACGCGTCATAAAATTCTTGTAATCGACGGTACGACGAGTGTTCTACGATACGCCCCGCGGTGTTCAGACTTTTTATCCGGGCCATGGGGTCTATACAGCAAACGTACTTTAAACAATCTCATCACAATAAGTCATAAAAGTCCTGAGCAAACGTCAAGTGGGATTCGTTCGGTTTGCGACGTGGCTGTGTATTTTTTTATAGTGGCGGACCGATTGCTTTTTGCGATGGGTGGGGTAACCCCGCGCCACTCCACTATGCGAGTCCGTAGACTTTAAATACACTCGTATAATACCTATAAAGACTAAACTGCTCGTCCGAAATTCCATTTTTCAATGTGGAGATTATCGGAAAAACATTCTGCTTGGCAACGTGTAGTAACAAAAAAGGAAGCTTTTGTTCGAAAAATATAATAACTATAAAACAATATGGGCAGTAAAAAATATGATTTTTTTTTCTCGAAAATATTGTTTTTTACAATGATTTCGAGTCATACATTGTGTAAGACAACAGCGTTTACAAAAACCTTAGATTATATTTGTCAAGAAAATGTGTGTCGACCTTTTTGTTTATATTTTTAATGGGGTTTGTTTTTTATTTATAAAACAAAATGGTCGTAGGTCATTGCATTTACATAAAAAATGCATTATAATTTGTATTAGTATAAATAACTATTGTGTTGGCATGTTTTAACATTTTTGGTTGCATATATTTTTAGAGCATAAAATCTTATCTCAATCGACGGTAATAATAATAATAGTATATTTTCAAATCTGACAAAGAATTATGGATCATGATATAATTGCAATAATGGTGCAATGTAATTTGTTTACATTTTTTTTTATGTACAGATTAAAATAAGCAATTAAAATTTGAATAATGCGTTTCTGGGGTTCAAATTAATTTTATCTGGTTAATCGAAAATTAAACATTATGTAAATTGTGTTTGGTGCAAATTTAAAATTTGTTATCAGGCATTGTTATAGTACACCATTCAACAATATTAAAACAAATATATATAATTTAATTATTCAATTATTTTTAAGTACCTAACTATACAAGCTATTATGTTAACACGATGTCAAACTCCAGGAAAAATATTGAGGTAAATACTATTATTAAAAATTAAAAATTCCCAAACTGCAATACGATTATTATATGAGTATTTTTCAAATTTGTGTATACGGCTGTTGATGGTGATAAACTGATAATGACTCAATATTTAGTGCTATTTAATTATGGTTTTTTTCTGAGATAAAAATAAAAAAAATATAATAATAATAATCATTCGTATCATATATACATTGTTAAACGTAATACGATGAGCAAAATTGTTTAAATAGTAATAATAATAATAAAAAACTACATCTACTTTAAGCCAACAGCAATTTTTATCTTTATCCCATCGATCTATATAACTGTAGTGTATTGTGTATAATATTGTTTAAATCTACGAAAAAAAAAAATGAATAGTATTTTTATTGTTATTATTAAGGGGTTGGTTTGCACGAATGTTTTGATAACAATTTGAGTGCAGCGATTTATTATGATAATAAATTCCCGGACGTGAGCTCATCGTCGATGGAGGAGCAACGAAAATACTTGCAACTATACTTCGTGTATATAATACATCAGTGCCAAAACCACTAGAAAATAATTTATTTAAAATGGCGTATTGTGTTATGTGTATGTGTGGCGCCGTATAAATAGCCAGCTAATCTATATTTGTACTAGTGGGGCAAGTCGTTGAAGTTTGAGGTAAGGTCTGAAACTCCGAAATCCATCTTCACCCTCCATCCCCACGGACGCTACTTCAGATAATGTGGTATACGATACTAATAATAATATATGCATACAATTTTGTCTCGTATATTATCGAAAATTCGAGAATGATTAATGGCTTGTTTAATTATATCGTGAAAACGTTGTACACGATATAATATTATGTTTAAGCGGCGAATTTGTAATCATTATAATTTAAGCAGCGTGTACAATGAAACTTAGGTAAAGGAATCGATACAAGTACATGATAATTACTGCACAAAAAAATTAACCTGGAAAATACGCGTTTTAATTAAACCGAGAAGATACACAAATATGAAAGTCCTATAATAATGCCCTTTATTAAATCACAGTTTGACGCTGAAGACGAAAATATTATGTTCTTTCACTGATAAATATATATTATATATAGACAGAAATTAATATGAACCCTATATAACCTATACATATTATATTGCTTATGCCATATCCAAAACGAAAATCTAAATGTTTATTGTAAATGCTCCAAAATAAAGTCCCGAAAACACCATTTATCTGAGAAAAACATTCAAGGTTGTCCCATAACCACTCCTGCCACAAGTACACTGTACACTACTCGCAATAAACTTCTTCCTAGGAGACCAACCAGACGGTTTTTTTTAGGCGAACTTCTCTCTTTTATTATCTAATATATTATATTAAACGAACCATTTTCGAATTCGGGGTTGTCGTTTGGCACCCTTACCGAGCTAACGTTGGCTTCCTGAATCCCACGTTCATAGATTTTTTGTTATACGCAGCTGCTTTTAGACTTAATTGGCCCCTGCGACTCAACATAACTGCACTTCGATATTAGTCTTAATCTAAACATCCCTTCTTTGTTCACCCATCGTAATAGTTATTGGCTCTTAGTTTATTCATTCACTTTTCAATAATACGATTGGTGCATCTGACCTTCTCACTTGAGTTTTATTTAAAGTTTCTTCACACAACGTCAGAAATCAAACTCCCTTTGTCATCAACACTCATTCCACTTCTTACGATCACAATCATCTAATGCACAGAATTCTGCGGGCCTGTCCAATCAAGTGTGAAGCTTCCATATTTTTAAATCATTCGTATCACTTGTCGTATATTTCATTATTTGTATTAACAAATTGTAATTCGTAACATTATAAATTAATACATTTGTCAATCTAATAATAATTGTAAATTGTTAAATTTTACTTGGATAAGTCTAAATTCTATGATATATTCACAAGGCTCCATCGCTGGATTACTTCCCTCGTCTTGTGCTTTATGTGTATGTTTATGTCAGTAATCTGTTTTACTTATTAAGTAAACAAATACATTCGTAATGTACATTTTTCGTATAAAAGAAAAAAAAATGTTACATTAACACACATTTTAAATTGCGAATTAGTGTTTATTCTAATTAATGAATATTGTTATTGTACTATTGTAAATAAACCTATACGTTCGGTAATCAATTAAATAAATAAATAGTTATTATCATTACATTTTTTTTTTTTTTTTTGATTTTGTTGTTCGATAATTTATTATGTTTTGTTTACGTATATATAATATGCTTTAATTAAAACCACTAGTGGAATATCCATGTTTTTAAATAAAATGTACACATCGTTATTTGGTTTTTCATTTTATCTATCCGATTTGAAAGTCGAAAGCTCGTGTACATTATTCATTTACATCATATTATAATATAATTTTATCTACAAACGCCTGGTGAATAATTTAAACTAAATACTCGTGACGCATTTGAATAATACTGTTTTCAATCGAATCAACAGAGATGAACTTTAAACGTGTTTATTCATGTTTAATGAATGCGTTTCATGGTTGGGTTTTCTCAAAATTTTACGAAAAGTCCGTTTTTGAACTATTCGTTACACTAATAAAACACTAAGTATGGCTATCTGATAACTTTTTTGTTGCTGTTACATTAAACTCGACAAATTTTGCTTAATTATTAATCACTTCCAAGCGGACGTCAAATGTAAATTATTAGTAAAGCTAGGATTTATATTATGAAACATAAAATATACATTTAGTTTCGTAAAATAATCTTAAATGTCCAATACAAATATACATGTTATTAGTTAAAAATTATAATATTATTAATAAGTAAGTACCTATAGTGAATTACTAATATTTTTCGGAATTAGTGAAAAAATAATAATTTGATTGATTTAAGATGGATTGGATAAAGTTGCCTTTTATGAAATTAACATAATATTTTTAATTACTTTTAAATAAATGCATAACATTCATACGATTTTTCTCCAGTGACAAAATCACTAATTTTATTAAATTGTTATTACGAGCCTAATAAACGAGACATTTATAATAATTTCATTTAAGGTTTAAATGTATCATAAATCATGTATTTTTAGTGATAAAAATAATATGTAATAATATGCGTTAAACTTAAAATATGCAAAATAAAAATTATTTCGATTGTATCAAAAATAAACATTAAACATATTAAAAATTATATAGTAACTGCATTTTTAAAAGGCAGCTGCTGAAAAAAAATATTACCTAATTATTAGGATCTAATAGACCCTAGCTCTAATTATTAGGAATAGTATAATTTCGTATAAACTATAAAGTAGTAAAGTATAAACTTCTTGACATCTCGTCATATTTTAAACCTACAATTTATGTGTTTTAAAAATAAAAAGTTTCATTGGCCATATTTTATATCGGAGGAGAGATATCATTTTACTATGTAATTTACATTTATCTTATTTTATCAACTTTTATGGCAACAAAAATTCCAGGAAAGCAAGAACAGTGCTTAACCTAACCGACAGTAGTTTTATAGTGTTTCATTAAAGTTTCTGCTGTTAACACAAATAATAATGATATGAATCTTGTCGTATTCAGTCATAGAAATATTATAACACTACGTCACTACATTACTATATTATATTTAATCTATAAATACGACCTATAATATGAGTGAGTGGTTTTGGTAATTGTCTATACAATTTAGTATTTAGAATTATTTCTGAAAATAAATAATATCTACTAATTATTACTAATTAAATCTACATGAAGGCTGTCTTACATAAAAATCAAATACCTAATAATTTATTGTAATATAAAAATAAATAATAATATTGAAGTTCATGCCCATGACTCCCTGCCCCAATCCAACATCACAAATTTTGAGTGCGAACCCGACAGTGCTCCGTTATCGAAGGTTAATGCTTTTTAAAAAGTACATCACTTAAAAAGTTATTAGTGTTTCGAAAAGGGAAATTGACTGGGAACATGGTTAGGTTATAATAATAAAATACCTTATAATAACCTTATAATAATATAATACATACTCAGACACCTGCAGAGTCCTGAAATTCCAACTGAATATTATTTTTTACCTTTATGGAATTTGAATACTTTTATTTTTCCAGCTTATAATGTATTTACCATAGGAATATTAATTGCAGTATAAATATTAAATTATGCTCCACTCAGATTCACTCTCTGAATGCAGGATAATTGCTTTAAAATTCGCTATAGTGAACACTGAAACGATAAAATAAATTGTCTCTCTATTTTAAGTAATACATTTATCGTTCAAGTGTTTAATTTTTAATATTTTGTAATGAACCTAGATGAACGAGTGTAAGTACTTTTTTCCGTAAGCAATTGTTTTCGGTGATAAAATTAATAATTTACCTACTTTCGTATAGCTAAAACTACACCGGAACAAGATGAGAGCTTTTGGAGAAAAATGTTTACTCGACAATAATTTTGCTTATAAATCACTAATTAAATTAAAACAACAAATCTACGGAACAAAAATAACTAAACGCGTTTATATACACAAAAAAAATAATACAAAATAAATAATAATAATAATAATAATAATAATAAAAATAATAATAATACTTAAAAAAAAGTTGTTCGTGAAAATTTTTTCATAAAAAAAAAAAGAAAAAAAAACGTACAAACACACCTATAACGAACGAGAGGAACAAATAACGACGAGCATCGGCCGCATGCAACAATCAAATAAAAATAATAATGTATAAAATAATACAAACATAAACGAGAACAAACATAAAACAATATTATGCGGGAGTGTACTGTTGTCTACAAAAATAAATAAAAATGATGATAATGCAAAAATACTGGTCACTCGATATCATATTATAATGCTGTAATAGTACCTTTGTATAAAACCGATTAGGGAATAATTATTAAATATCGTCATTATAATATTATATGAGTACATTTGTATAACTAGAAAAAGTTCTCCCAATCAGTTGTCTATAACTGTTGTGTACTGGCATCTGCGTATAGATAGGTAGGTATATAATATAGTATAATACTGGCTTAGCTGGTTACAAAAACACGTCGATTTTTCATTTTTGAGCATCGCGTATCCACACAAAAATAATAATTATAAATAATAATAATAATAATAATAGTAGTAGTAGGTAGTTGTAATAATATTATGATTATGATGATAACAAACGCGCGGTCACGTTGAAGACGAAAAACAAAATAATAATAATAATAATAAAAGGAACCTAGCTATTTACAAACAAATAATATTATGATTTACAAACGGACAAAAAAAAACGGTTTGAAGCATAAAAACAACATAAAAAAATATATCTCAAAAGAAATCACACGACAACGCCGGAACCTACCTCGGACGTGAACGTCACTTGAGGTATGTGAAATCGTCTTCTGGGCGGCTCTTGAAGTGAAACGGTCGTGTCGCTCTGGCTGACCGCGGCGGCTGCCAGGCTGAGTACGCCAGGGGTGGACGCAGACCTTGGAGGCGGTTGATTCTTCCTCCGGTTGGCCGTCGTCGTTTTGTTGTACACTTCCAACGACAGCTGATTTCCACACGATCTGTTAGTGAAAAATAACAGAAAAAAACGCACTGTTATTATCAAATATTTAAAAACAATATTATGGCATTTTGTTATCATTGCGGTTATAATAATTGAAGTTTGAGATATTATTATATAACTAATATAGTTTTTAAAAGCATAGGATAGGTGTACTATTGACTTCGATTTTTTTTTATTCTGGTTGTGTTTGAAACTCACTCTGCTTATATTTTTTTATTCATGAACATTTATTTTCATTTTCACGCCATTTCCAAACGATTTTATTTCCAAGCAACAATTTTCATCCCAGAATATAATTAATACATAAATATGATGAAAATCCAGTATAAACGCAATCAAAGTAGATAGGACTTGAAGACAGATTTATAACGTTTCTTGAAATTTATTGCTCTGTCCACGCAAACTAAGCTTTATCATAATTTAAACCAGAAAAATAAGTAAAAGTTTGTCACAGTGTTTGAAACGACTTTAACGTGTGAGAGACTATTTTATTTTAATATTAATGCAAACGGGCTTTTGCACGAAGTACATCATGGTTCAAATTTGATTAATACCGAAACAAGAATAATTTTACATAAGTAATAAACTTATTTGTACATGTTACACATTTATTATTTAAACTGGTCTTGTTTGAACAAGTCTAAGGAAAAATTTTAGTGCTTAAAACAAATACTCTGGTAAATTTATATGAAGTGTTAACGGAAGGAAAGTTATAGCGTTTTATGTCCCGTAAAACGTATGTTCCGTACGTGTTTTGTATAAAATATGTTTTTCAAAATTCCATCGTTTCCAATATATATTGTAAAACGCAATTTTCCACTAATAATATAAAAATACGTGTGTAAAAACGAAATTTCCAACTCAAGTAAAATCGTGTGTAATCTGAAAAGTTGGCTTGCGTATAAAAACCATTCTCTGCACTCATTAATATCTTGTACCTACATAACTACCAGGTTATTTTGTTCTAAAAGGCACAAGGCGACTGTGACGTAGTATCATTGTAATCATTGGAGGTGCTCAGAGATTTTTCATTACATGGGTTCGTTACATCGTTTACACCTTTTAAAATTAAATCGTTGACACATGTTTTACTTGAAAAATATTGTGCTGCAACATTTGTTACTCGGAATAATATGACGTGTACAATTTGTAATTTATTATTTTGTTATAACTTATAATAGGTAACGTAGAAAGGCTGTCAACATGTTTTCAGTGATAAACAAAATTACATATTTTTCAGGGTAGTATTTTTAAAAAATGAAATTCCCTATAATTATCGTCGATATTGGCCAGCAGGGTACCGTGCAATGGTTAATAAATTGTTTTCATAACCTGAAAAGTGCAATAATTCGTACAACTCACGCGTCATTCCGGTATGTCAATAATAGTTAATTTACTCAAATACACCAGCTCTTACGCGTGAGAAATATGTAAACGAAAACACGTTTATTTACGAAAAAATTATAATATTATGGTATAATAATAGACTATCGATTGACATGACGAGTGCAAATCTGTTTAAATCGTTGCCCACAGATATGAACTAGTCGTATATGTACCGCGTTTTGTTTTGATTTGAGAATATAAGTGTTCTTCATATCATGTTTTACAGTCGATTATTTCCTTTCCCAATTGTTTGAGGTCATGAGGTCTAAAAATATGTCTGGTCACCTATACAATATTTTTCATTACAAAACAAAAAAAACTATTCAGTCTACTAGAGTACTAGATTGAAGTCTAGATTGTCCAGTCTGTTACATTTATTGAAATGTAACCACTAACCACTGTGCGAGTAGTGTAGTAAAATACAATACAAATAATACAAATAAATACGTGGTGCCAAGTCCAAATGATATAATAATATTTACATCGTTATCCCCGATTTGAACTTCGATTTCACTGATGGTCGTCAAATAAAAAACAAATACAAAATGGGAATATAATAGTATGTATCTATGGTACGGATAAATCGTTTTAAAATTCTTTAATGGATTAAATTTAGAAACGATCTAGTGCTCACCACTCAAGTATATACTGCAGTTTACCTACTCTCTCTTCCTAGTAATAAGATCGATGTTAAGAAAATCGTTTAAAATAAAGTTGAATAAATTAAATAACAATAATACGAGGCAAGAAAAAACACACACGCTACGTGTCCGTGAGTATAATTTACGAGTACAAAATAATAACATAATACAACCAATAACTTATTTCATATAGTAGTGTTGATAAAGTATCTAATTCGATATGTTCAAACTTTGAGCTTACAATTAATGTCACAGAAAAGTGGGAAACACGCCCTCCGGCCTCCTTACACAGAAGTAGAAAAAGATTGTATAGTAGTAGATTACTTTATTAATCGAATAATGTCAATAAAACGTAGTATTGAATTAAAGACAACGAGTTTAATGTAGATATATTATATAGTGGTGGCCAATGGGAATTCATTCGGGCGAATGACCTATATTTTTCTCATGAAAACAATACGTACTCTTCGTAATGATAGTTAGGTTAGGCTAGGTTATTATATCGACTATTATTGTTATTATGTATTTAAACATTTTAAACTTTTAATAAAATCGGCCCGAGTTGTTAAAAAAAATAATCGACTTATATTTTAAGGCACGCATGCAGTGTGGTAATTCACTAAATCAACAGACGAAAATGAACAACGATTATAATAACATAACTATGTTTAACTCAATTGTATTACCTATGGCGTTTAAAAAACCTAACCGATCAGGACTATATTGTACGTACGATTTTTGAGTTCGTTCGGCCTATGTGTGTAATACTATTCAGTATTGCCTCGGAAGAAAACGGTTTTATTTTCTGAAACAAGCAGACACTGCGATATGCTGAAACTTGAATAATGGTGATTTCTATACACTTGTTGCAGAAAAGTCAAAAGATCACTGTCATACTTCGTATACGAGTCTTTAGAAATTCCTTACACGCCAAAATAATGTAGAACGTATGCCACCATTTTTTTATTTTATCCCGAGTAACTACACAATTTATTACTGTCGTGGAAAACAAGCACTATAGGTTATACACATTGAATAATATGTGACAAAGTGCATCGACAATAAATTTAACATTGTCGTGTTTGGTGGATAGAAAAAAACTTGAGTAATTGATTCGAACGTTCGATGTGATCTCTCGCGCAAAAAAAAAATAAATACAATTTACGTTAAACGTTATTAATTAAAGCATATTAATATTATCCATGTAATATTAGGTGTATCATTATTCATTAAGTACCTACGTAGATTGACGGAAAGAACAAATTTGTATATAATTTATTATTATGATGATTGATTTTATTCATACTTGAAAGGTTCATACTAACACTAAAATTGTGTTTAGTGTGTATAATCACTGTAACTATTAATCTTAATTCGCGTTGAGTTCCAAACGTTAGAGATAGAAGATTTTTCTCATTTCTGTTAGATTTCGTTTTATTGTTGTAATTTAACAGGACTTATGAGAAAGATTATCCCACCAGAAGTAATTCGGGTTATTAAAATTAATCGCATTATAACAAGATTGTCTTTTTAATTAAACGTTAGTTGTTAGTTGTATATTTTAACAACGGTTTTCAAAATTAACTTATAAAAGGAGCACCTAGTTTTCAATTTTTGAATACTGGATTTTATGCATGCATAGGTAGTAAGTACATAACGTTATGGTACATGTACAGAAAATAACAATACCATTTGTAAATACAGTTTCGAAAAACTTTAAAAATAATTATTATTTTATTTTCATATATACTGAAGATCTTGAAATATTTCGTTGTTTTTAATATTATATATTCTTCATTAATTAACATTAAACTTATTATTTTACTTTAACATAAAACCACACAATATGAGTACTCTTACAACATATACAGTGTACAATTTTAAGTATTAAAGCAGCTGTAGTTTGACTGTTGCCTGTTAATTTAGTTTTATGATATTATACTAGGACATTTATTGTATATATAGAAACAAGAAAGAGGTACTCGACTCTGATCTATCTCACGTATTATTCTAGAAATGTCAGGTTCAGTTATCTATCGTAAAAGTAAGTCACCGGATGAACAAAAATAAACTTACTTAATCAACTCCATGACGTCGTCTTCGGCCATCATCACTACGTTAGTTTTATTGATGAATACTACATAATCTCCGGGCTTCAGATCCGCTTGGTCCGCAGGTAAGCCGCACTCCACTCTTTCCACCCTACACACGAGAAAAAAGAAATATAATTTATTTTAGTTAATATCCGGTGTTGTTATTCAAAAAACCAAATGATTTATTAGTGAGCTCGTATTCTTACCTCGGGGGGTGTGTCCACGCTATGGAAAAGCCAAAACTGGATCCCGAGGGTTTCGACAACCGTTTGGTAATCGTGAAAGGAGTTCTGCCACTTCTACCATCCTTATTGGACGACAGTGGTGGGTCCAGCTCCAGGTATTGCAAGAATTTGTTTTCTTCATTGCCTGGAAAATGTACAAAAATATAGTTACTAATTTATTTTAAATTTATATTTAGTTATGTCATAAGCACGCGTGGAAGACAAACGTGAGAAATGTTCGAACGTCTTATGTAATGAACGTTTATCGTTGTCAAATGAACCGAAATGCGCGTTAACATAAAATAAAGGCCCCGTGACTTATATATAGACGAACATGCGAATTACAATTCGTTTGAGTTATTGTTATTATAAGCCCGATCGCGTGAGAAAAACAGTTTTAGGTGCTGTGAATATTATTGAACGCATTACTTAAATTGGAACACAGACCGGTCGACAGTATAAGTTGTGCTTAAAGACGTCCAACAACCAGATATAAGTTTACTATATAGGGCACACTTACCCGTTTTAGCGGTCAGTGTGTCTTTTTTTGGCTTCTGACTAGATTTTACCTTGACGGACACTAAAAAAAAACATAAACAAGGGTTAATTTTTCACACTACAATTATTGAAATTTTTACTCGTTCGTATATTATCCATACATCAGACCACTCACCTGAACGATTACTGGGTGTAGTTTCGTCATCAATCATGATGTCTTCTTCATCGTCATCGGTGCTGCAGTGTACGGTCTTAACCACGGTCAGGTCTAAAATGCAAAACACGGTTAAGCATTATTCAATAGGGTGGGAACCGGAAACATGCGGATATTTAGGTATTTTTGGTGCTGCTAAATATGATATAATACTGACCTTGTGGTCGATGAGCCGGAGTCGAGTGCGGTGGCATTCGCCCGGGACTTTGTGGTACGAGTTTGAACGTACCGTTTATTTCCTGGAAAAACAAAAAAACAATCCATCAGAATAGGTTTTCTTAATTATTTTTTTTATATCAATAGTGGCGACGATAAATCACTAAAAATATTTGTAATTGGGTCAAACGTTCTAAATACTCTCATCACAGTTCACCGTATTATTATTATTTTGATATGTATACGTTATATTGAAAGTGTCACATTATAAAAAGAAGGGCTGTATACATTTCAATGGGCTCTCGACACTTGAAGAGCTTCATCGAATAGCGCATTTACTCGCGGTTTATACAGCAGTATCCATTGTTCCGTTATAATCGAAATTTTAATAATTAACATCAAGATAATTTCGTGATCGGTTCGCCGCCAAGCGAATATAATATTATATTGAAACATGACCATGTACATGATGGTTAACGTCGCGACGCTTCATCGCGTTTTTGTCCATACACAATCCCGTCAAATGTTTAAAATATAATATGATTGGGCAATAACTAAGGTAATACAATGTACACACGCAATGACTTACTTTTTTGAGGACGTTTTTCACCGCAAACGACATGTAGCCCAGGAACTCGCTCCTCCTGCGTAAAACAAATAAACGGTAAAATATGAATAAAAATGTGTATTCGAGCAAAGTTGAGACGTCGTTGTGGGTACGGATGATGACGCAGTCTATTTTATTTTATAGTAAGTATAATACACGTGTTGTGGTATTTTGTATGCGTTTTATTAAAACAAAATATCGTTACGATTTCGTCGACTTTGGGGACCGCCGAGAAAAAGTGTTCAAAAAACTAATAAAAAAAATGTAAAAAACGATAACGAACCGGCGGCTTTCCGGACGGACGAGAAACGACTGGCTCGGCTTGTTTCGGCCGCTGAACGTTTGCCGTTCGCGGTGTGCGCGGGATCGATCGGCCGCCACTCCTCCCCCAGCAGCCCCGTCTTACACTTCATACCCCTATCCCATCGGCACCCCCGGACACGGCGCGGCGGCAGCATCCCTCGAAACGACGTCGGCGGTTACGATAGGTCGTACGGTGAATGCAAATCGGACCGCGGGGGAAGACGGAAAAAAAAAATAATAAACAGCGTGTCGCGAGAGGGTAAGTTGCCTCCATCGTCGTCGTAGTCGCGTGGTGGTCATAACGTGCTAATATCATACACTCAACACTGCGTAATTTTCTTTTTTTTTCGTTTCTGTCGGGGCCGAGTCGATATTTTCATCCACGTTTCGCTGAACCGATGAATAATGGCCGTTCCGGTCGGTTTGAGATTTAGAAGCCGAAAAAAAATTGCTATCATGATGATGATAATAATATACGGATGATAATGTATCGCGGTGTTCTTTGAAATGGTCTCTTGGGGACCTTCGCGTTAGGGTCAGGTGGTGGTGGAAGGACGTGAAACGGCTGCACTTGCAGAGGATATAATTGTTTAATTATGTTTTCGGCCGCGACCAATAATCGTCGTGTGTTCGCAAATGACCATATATTTTATACCTGCCTACCCAGTGCACTGATCTCTCGGCGGCAATCGCGAAAGCGCGTCTACTGGGAGGCCAAACCAAATCGATATAACACAATATAAAATATGTGTTTAATGTATAGGTACCGCGGTATAATAAAATTTTCCAGTAAATACACACGACCGGTATATAAATATATATAATATGACTTGACGCGCGTCAGCCGCCGCTGGGACCGTTTCACAATCTGACGCAACCGACGCCTCGGCGATGTGTAATATCCGTGTAGTTATATTAATATTATTGTTGTGCACACACACACTCAAACACACTCACACGTATGCCGAAGAATAATGAATAATATTATATTATTATTATTATTATTATTACGGCGGACCCTTCTCTTATCGACGCGCGTAAAGTCAAGTTCGCACACACAATTAAGCCGTCTCTTATGTAGGTACTGTGTTATATAGAAATGGTGTTCAAACGGTATACCATTATAATATTATCAAATGAATAGGATTTCGTATATAAAAATGATTATATATACATTATGTACCCGCCGCCGAAGTGCCGACGAATATCGTAATGCGTCCGACCTATATACATAATATTATTATTATTATTATTATTATTATTATTATTATTATTATATGTGTGTGGCGATTTGACTATTATTATAATAATAATAATAACTGCTGCAGCAGATTATTACGCCCGAGTGATAATGTTTCGTCTCCGAAATCGTCTCGGGATTGTTTCTTTTAGCATGACGCAATCATTTTTCGGCGGTTGGGATTATAACATTATATAGTGTACAATGAGCCCATAGCGATCTCTCGTCCGACGTTTATTCGATTGACCCATTTCTGAAATCTGGACGATACTAATCATCAATAGTTATAATATTTAATTATTTCTGCCCCACACTGCGGCCCGTACATCATGAACGATCGGTTACGGTTTGCCGCACAGTATTTTCGAGGGTATCGGGCACGTTTCGTATCGGTCGTTCGAGATTTCGGATCGGAAGTTCGCTCACGGCGAATGGTTATAATTTTCAGTTACTATACCTACGCATATTTCGTTGGAACGTGAGTGTAATGCACAACGAAAATTGGATAATCTTCGTGAAAACATCGGCAAGCGTATCGGATTCGAAACCCAACACGAACCGTGAAGTATAACATATACTTTGCACTGCAGCTAAGTTTATTATAAAAGTCCATAATACGATTGAACGGGCGTGTTGCGTTGTATATATAAAACATCGATGGCTGTAAGTGTGCGTCGGCACTAATGCAAGCACATATATAGTTGTTTCGCGAAACAATAACAATCAATTATTCTCAAATAGAAACTGACGAGACACTCGAAAGACGTTTTTAAATTCACTCTGAAAGCCATATAACATATTATGTGTGTGTGTCTCAGGTTTTGACTTTTGATGTACACTTCAGATAAAACATGAACTAGAATCGTACAACTTTTAAAAATAATTTACTACACTTTTGTTCATACCGTAAATAATGTGAACGCGTCTGTGTGGACGTAAGCTCTACGTCGGACCGCGTAAAATATTCAAGTTAACGTAGCAGGTATATCTATATTTTATTATTAATTATTGAAGTCGCGAAAGTCGGAATATATTAAAAATTTAAAGGGGCTTGTTCAAAATGTATATAAATAACGTTACGATAATGTAAAAGAATGGCTTTTGAAAATATCGTGAAAAATGTTAGCAAATATTTAAAATTCAAAACAATACTATTATTCATTATGAATATTATGACGTGTCCTGATAGTGTTACCTTTTAGATCTGTCTCGGTGCCAAGCGGATATCAATATTCTCTTGTCCAGATCTTCCTCAGAGAGTGGGACGGAAAAAGATTCGTCGAAACGAGGGTTGGTAGAATTGTGCCGCACTCGGGTCTTGTGACAAGTTCCTTTGCCGGGTACTAAGTAAACCTGTGTAGTAATAATCTCAAGTTAATCTAATATTCAATTTCAGCAAACAATGACGCCAAGGCTGCAAACTTACCTTTATATAAGTGTTTGGCGGTTCACCGTCTGCACACACCAGATTTCTGCCTCTTTTAACTACATAACCGAAAGCAATCAAAAGTTTGTTTGTTAAACAATGCAGGTAAAAGGCAAAACAGTTTAAAAAGTAAATATAACGAGTAAATATATATATACTTACGTAGTACGGTTAAGTGTGTTGAGTCTTTCAATTCAATGGATACCTCTAGGCCTGAAGCTAAAACAAAAAATTATTAAGATTAAGCTCTAATATACGCTGGCTAGAAACACGAATCATTGAATATAATATATTTCGAAATAATATTAGAAATTAGTAAATTAAAATTACTTCTACGTATTCAAATTTGCGAACAAATTTAGGTTAAATGTTAGGTAGGTATTATAATAGTAATGAAAAACCTATAATATATAGTAGGTACTATATAGCAATAGCTACGACATTAAATTGCTATTCGTGTTCAAACATTTCGTACCTTTGTCGGCAGTGGCGGAAGACGGTTTTTTCAATGACTTCCGGTTCCGCTTTTTTGCCGACGAATCAGGCGGCGGCGAAACGAACGACAGACACCTGCGGGACTTGAGCGTGAACGTCTCGTCCAGTACAGCCGGACTACGTGGATCGCTGCAGCAGATGATCTCGTCATCGACGGTTGTGGACGACGTGGTGGACAGCAGCCGGTCGGTGCGAATGCCGGTGGCCAGCGAGGGTCCGACGGGTGTCTTCCAATAGTCGTCAGAATCGTCGGCGGCCGACTGCCGGTGAAGTGGCGTGATGGGGCTAGGCGTCCCGATCCGCCGCTGGTGAAGTGGGCCGCCGACGCGGTGACGGTTGAGCGTCGAGGGGAACGGACTAGGCAGGCCGTCGGGCAGAGTGAGACCACCGCCGCCGCCGCCACCTGAGCACTGCCACCACCACGAGGCGACGGGCCGTTTGTTGCCGGCGATCGGCGTCTCCGGCCAGTCGTCTTCGCAATCGGACAGCGATCGTTTTCTCTTGCAGGCGTCCGTCGTCGTCACTATCGCCGTCCCGGGAGATCGCCGTAACCGGATCTCCGCCAGCCGTTTGGCCAGCGGCGACACGATGCTGAGCCGTTCGCTGTCTCCACGGACGAACGTAACGTCGTCCATGCGGATCTGATCCACGTACCGGTCGATCAGCCTGGACGCGCGCAGATCACCCTGGGTGCGAGGCTGACCCGTCGGCATCGTGGGCAAATGTTTGTGCGACAGCTGAACCGGTTCTTCGGCAGGAGACATGGACACGCACAGCTGCTCGTCGACCGGGGAGGTGACGGTGACGGTGGAGGCAAATTCTGCTGTTGCTGTGGAGGCGAACGTCGCGACAGCCGAGTACGCCGAAGAGATCACATGGTCGGCCGTGCACGGCTTTTTCCGTTTCACCTTATCGTCCGTCCAACATATATCGTCACCTGATCGTCTACAGCAGAATAATATAAAAGGTTAAAAACGATGGTTAATACACACCGGTGGTCTCAGAACAGCGTAATGACTTCTGTCCAGAACTGTTCCGATAAAAGTAAAAAAATAATGTTTTTGTTTGGATGTTAAGTCCTTACAACTCGTTTTTAACGTAATTAAACGATATTTATGTGTACAAAACGAATTATCTTGTCTTGGGCAACGACAATATAGTGAAGGATTCAATTTTTAATGTTATAAAAATCACAGTTTTATTAAATCCGAAAATAATGATTCCGAAGTAGTGGTATAAAAAAAAAACAACAAACAAAAACGTGTTTAGCCCGTAAACGGTATCATTACACTGGTAAATCTACCGTGTCACGGTTTATGTAATTGCGTGCGGTCATAGGTATATTATATACAATTAATAAAGTTATTATGCGTTTGACGAAACAATATCGCGTGTTTCCGGTAAACGCGAGTAGATAATCTTGCGGTTTATTGGGGCTCGACTATTTGCAATACATTTACCGGATTTGGTTTTAACACGACGAGTATAATAGAATAATATAAATTGTCATAGTTATTTTATTATGTCGTTGAGTAGTTAATGGGATAACAATACATATTATTACTATACATACGTACTAGGTCAGTTTGTTCTTTAAGGTGCCAGAGGCAAACAAGATTTTGGGGCTAAAAATTTACAAAACCTATCCGTTTACCTGCGATTTGGATCGTGTTTATCCGTTTATTGTGTGGAATGATTATAATGGAATAACGAAAGGTCGAAAACTGTGATGCTTAATCAGATGCACGCACATTTGAAACTGTTAATGCGACTTTACACTGCTCCGCGAATCATGATTTCTGGGGAAAAAATTGATCGGCTGAATCTCGTGGTTAACTAGCGGTTATAAGTAAATACCATTATGTATATTGCATACCAGGAACTAGAAAACTACTCAAATCAAATGTTTACCATGATATGGTTTCTGGTTATGAAAATAATTATCAAATTAAAATGTTAACTGATAATTGATACTTTATTGTGATAACAAGAAACCAGTTACCACTATTATGTTCACAACATTACCGCAAAAATGAAAAAATATATAATTTTGAGTAATAACTGATACATTTTTCCCGGAAATCACGGTTCACGGAGCAATGTGAAGTCATTCACAGTCTACAATTATAGTTAATAATATATCTACTGAAGTCTGAAGTTGATAATGATTATACGTTATCACAAATCTGGATTACGCTACAGATATTATTTTCATGACTCGGCGATTAACCGTTAGGCGCAAAAGCCACAAAACGATATTATTCTATATATTACTATGAAGATTATTATAGATTATTATAAAGTCTCACCTCTTTTGCACTGCAGGCATCCAATGGACTTCCGTGCAGGGACTTTTCGTCCGTCTGCCGCCCGGTGATATCTGCAACGCCACCACCGCCGGGCTGTTGTGGTTGCTCACGTCCCTCAAGCTCTCCCGACGACGTCGGCGACAAGTCTTCGCTGTCGGTGTCATCACGTCCTGTGTAAGACAAAAATAAAACAGTTTTAATGTCAAGTGTCGGAGGAGTTGGTTGGTAAACGCAAAACAAAACACTGTACGATATTTTTGGGAGCAAAAAATGATAGCAGTTGAATCGTAGATAAAGGTTAGCTATTTATTAGAAATTCGCAGTGTGATACAAACGCATATACGCTACATAAGGTACCATAATTTTATTTTTGATTCATAAAATCACATTGTCCACAAAAATAGTGTACCGATATACAAATTAGTGACAAAATAGTATAGGAGAATACTCTAGAGGGACGAATAAATTATTCACGACACTAAATTATATACCTAAACTAACGCACATTATAATAAATTAACTGTGCAGCTCCGTCCGATCTATCGATTATGTGCTGAACGATGTATATGCGCGTTGCGCTTATAATACTCAGAAAATAAATTTAAAGTCGATCCCTAAAATGTTTTACGAAATTCCTTTGGGATTTAAAATAGTATGAGCTGCGGGAGCATGGACTTCCGGATAAATACGCCGCTTATAGTATTATATTTATGTAAAGGTATTTGCGACTTTTTCGATCTGCAGTCGGCCATGTCATACTATTATACTTGTACAATAAACTTTTTGATATTATCTATCGCACTTTTTCACTATACCTATAAGTGTCAAAATATCACTATTCGAAAACAATATAAATCTCCTCAGGTTTTATTTATCATATTATTGTAGGTAAGTATACCTATTCAATCCCTTCAATTCTAAAACCTTAAACTGTTTCGAGATATATATATTATATAAGCGTATCATCTACACTACTCGACTGTTAAAGTAATTTAACAATTTTTTTCGAAATAAATTTCAACTTACCACACATTCAGCGTTTTCCTTGTCGTGTTTGCCTGACATCCTGGACGGTCGTCTTCGTCGCGGCTTTTCCGAAAAGCACGGCGGCGACTCGTCGGCCACCGTCGTTTGTCTCCACGTCGCCGTTCCCCCACCCCTCTGTCCGACTACGGTCCACTTTAACATTGCCGACGGTTATCTGTAAGTGAGAGAAACAAAAAAAAGTTGCATGAATATAAAAAACACTGCCGAAAGGATTATGGGTATTGTGGATTTTTTTTATACTGTCGAGTATTCGATTCACACGTTGTCGCCGTGTAAATTATTTCGTTTTTTTCGGATGTCAATCAATCTCGCATAATATAATTTACGTATAAAGGTACCAGTCAATTAGGCAAACTCTCGGTTACACAATTAACCATAATAATAGCGGCAGCCGGTGGAATTAAAAATAAAAAAATACGAAAAATACTCTGTGAGATAATAACCGACGACGTCAGTTAGGTACAGCACCAGGTTTCCGGTTAACGTCATTATTTATTTATTTATTACAGGCGGTTCCGGAAATTGAATTGCATTGTTTATCGCCTACTTAGCATATGTGTACACGTAAGCGGCGTATCGGCCCATAACCGATTTAGTCGTTTGGAAACGAGAAATGATCTATACCGCAGTCCGTCGCCGTGACAACCGTGCGGTATATACACGTATGAGTGACTTATTAGCATATTATCTGCCACTGAACGACGGCGGCGGCGGCGTGGAGAGGTGGAATAAAAACCGCTCTATTTCGAGGGTAGGTATATGTAAAATGCATTTACTCGTATATAGGTACATAATATGTGAATAAAAAAATAGGTACTCTTTCGTCCATTTTTTTTTCACCCTAGAACAATAGGAGGTGCCGTACACCACGTTTTTTCTTTGTCGCCGTTTTTCATCGTATATATCTCCGCGGCGCGGTACGTCGCGCGCATATATACATGTTACGCGGTAACAAGTCGGTGTTTTTTCGGTTCTCCCTTTCAAAGTCGCGCCAACCCCTTCGCGCCGAGCTCATAAATTTCCAGGTATAGGGCCATCCTCGACGCGAAATAATACCGATATATATTCTCCCATGGATTCCTAACCGGGCCACTTAGACGTATTCTTTTGTGAACGATCGCCGTGTCTTTTGTGAGCGATCAACCGTCGTAAATCAGCGATCAGTTCGTGCGGAAATAAAAATTGATACAAAAAAAAAAACGAAAAAAGATACCCTTTGAATACGGTATTTTCACGGCCCGCTTAGTCCCGACGCATCTAATTACAATCTGTAGAACAATATCGTTATGTGCGATACGTGACAAACTACGCAGCAGTACCTCATAGGTACCTACAACACCTAAAATTCAGTATGACGTTATTGTATTGTATTTAAATTGTAAAATCGTAAATTCGTAAGCGATACTTAACCTAACACCAACAATATACGTGCATTCGATAAAAATGTTCACGTTTTCGTCGTGTTCGTCGCTCTTCCACACTCAGCTGACCGTGTTTAAGAGTGGAACTGTATTTTCTATATGAAAAATCTAGAGTCGTGTTATTCGATAGACCTCATGACTCATGACTTCAATAATATATTATGTCAAACTACAAATGTATCAAATATTACTAACAGAAACAGTCGTTTTAAATACATCTATTAAAGTCCGATTGTTTTCAGTGCGTTTTCCGTCCCTATAATATATTATACTCAATTTCGATTACATTGACAGTAGTATAAATATGATTACCTGCATTGAACTCAGTGACCAGAACAAAAACTGCCGTTGAATAAATTCAATAATACTTTTAAAAAAAAAAACGTTAAGATATATAAATAATATTAGTGTACAACCCATATTATAATGCATTCAAAAATGGATTGTACGCATATCATTAGTACCTATGTCATTTGTACCTATAAAATATAAAATTCAGATTAACATAATGCGTACAACTGCGTGTATATTGTTATTTTTATGGCACTAATTATTATTGAAATTACACGAAAATGATATGTAATAGTGAGATCGATAACATGTTATTATATTTAAATTTTCAGTGGTTGTGTATTTATTTTTGAAGCCTTGTCGACGTATAAAGAATTCATGTAAATAATAGTTATAAAAAATAAAAAATATAAAACAATTTAGTACCGCGATTGATATTACCATAATTATTTTATTTCGTAACAATTCCTGTGTTAAGAGACAAATAATACATAAAAAAGATTACGAATTTCAATTTTTTTATTATAAAATCCTAATGACGGTAATAAAAATTTATTGCGCTCGGATGTAGGACATTATACATTGTTATTATCGCTATAACATATAACATTATTTTGCATCATGTGAGCCAGTACGAACATATTTTGGATCGTAATCATGGAAAAACGTTTCGACAAAACGCCAGTCGAGTAATAATAATAATAATAATAATAATAAAAAAAATTCGTTTATCTAAACTTAGTTAGGTTTATAATGCATTATATTTATTACCTATTTAATAATTATTAAAACATTAAAGGCAAACGATAATGTTAAAATCGATTATTGGGATGATGGAAAACGGTTTCGACCGCAATTACGATCGTGAAATCCGTTTTTTTCCGGTGACCTGTCGGCGGGTGCGTTGATGGGGCGGGGGGAGGCGCGCGTAAATTAGTATATAACCGTCGTCGGAAGTTATTAAGACCAATATAAGAATTATAGCGACCGAGGTGTGCGTATTATATACATATACAATCATAATAATAATAATAATAATAATAATAGTAATTGCTCAATGAACTCATAGAGCGTCTTGTAAAGACCGGATAAATTGCTTTCGACACACATTTACCATGTATAATATGTATACAGGTATGTGTGTGTGTTATTTATCGTAAAAGGCTTTTGCGTTTTATGTATATATGGCCATTCGCCGTATGTCCCATCAGTCGAGGCCCCCCGTCGGCCGCTGACGGATACGACGTCGTTGTTGGTTAACAGCAAAACGGGCGACGACGGCGGCGGCAATGGTGAAAACCGATATAACAATAGCGCTGGAAATCATCGTGTTAAATTGAGTCTCGGACGTCCGAAACAGGTGTGCGATCGCGGGCGCAGGTGGTTTACGTCCGTGTTTTTTTTCGGTTTTATTTATTTTATGTTTATTTTTTTACGTCAGATCCGTCACTGCAGCGAATTTGAATGCCGCCGCCGCGGCCAGTAAAGGTATACTACACTGCACAGGCCCGAGTCGGCCGTTATCGCGGATGCGTTTATAATATAATATAATATTTAAATGCTTTACACATCCATCACAGACACGCCGCGTGCGTGCATGAACCGGAAACTCCGTAGCTGTTCGATAATATTGTATACGTACGTTTGCGCAGCGTAGAAAACACTATATTATTAAAGCTCACCGACACGTACTTAAGCCACATCAGACTTGCAGCGGATGGTATAGTATATAGACACCCTCATGCTAATTCTACCGTTTTCCACCCCCCACCCCCTAGATATACCCCGCACTCCGGCGTCGTCCGTAGTACTCCCGTATTACGGTTATAATATTTCCGAATATCAAATAACGTAGTAATATTAGGTAGCGGAGCGCATTATATAGGTGCGTTGTAATACGTTGTTTCGAGAGGGATAGGGTGCAATGTGCATTGGAGATCCGCTTCACAATCGATGGGATTTATCCGAAAAATTACCAGTCATGCACTATGAGCACCGTGCAGCGAGTGGAAGAGTGGTGGTATATAGAGGTAAATAATAATAGTAATAGTCATAATGATATAAACACACAAGGCACCCCGACGATGTTCGCGTACTTGTTTTGCGGATTTGCAGTATCGTTTGTGTTCGTCGTTGTATAAGGATAGGCGCACGCTGGGGAGTCTATAAATGCAGATAATCATAATTCATAATGCATCCCCTGCCGATACATGATTAATCGACTGAACGGGGTAATATACGCGCGCGTCGGACGTCAAGTTCAATATAATAATATATTTTTTTTCGAAAATAAATTCCTAATAGTACAGTTAGTAGATACAATATCTAGGAATAGTAGTATACATCAGCTTACGTATATAAATAAAATCATGATGAATAAAATACAATAAATACAGATACAGGTTTAGTAAATAATAATTTTCAAACCTCCGATAAGCTGAGCTTATATAATATTATTTCTTTCCGCTTGGGAGTTTTTAAATAATTACTGTGAGAAAACTCAATTAAAACATTGACGAAAGACACAACGAATAGCGTATCCGAGATGTTATCCGTCGCTGTAGATGACGCCGCGCGGTGTCTTACGTCCGGGCGACGACGGTTTTGGGACACTTGTCACACGATATATATTATTAATAATTGATATAAAGTAGAGTGGCGACGGAGAAACACCCAGGAAGTGCCCCACGCCAACGGAGGTCCGTCGTATATTCGTGCAGCGGTAGTACGCGTCTGCCGACAAATTAAAAAACATTTTTTCATTCTTTCCATTTCTCGTCCACCGAGAAAATAACAGTAATTACGTGTCATTATAATATTACGTATGTAGGTACCTATAGGTATCGTGCGAAAAAAAAATACATAGACAATGTATGAAGTAAAATTTCTACAAAAACTATTTTATAATAGTGTATTTTTGAGTAGTAACAATTTTTTTTTCAAACCGATCAACGTAATTATTTGGGTTTGGATTTATGTTACATTATTATTATACAATATTATGAGAGGCAATAATGCATACAAATATATTAAACGTATTAACAATTTTGTATTCAAATATTGAAATGATCGTTAACCTTACTCATATTATAGGCATGAATAGCTTTGAAATTATAAATTATATAGGGGACCCGCATATTTTTGTAGTATAGTTTCATTATTATTATTAAATAATATAATACCCACTGGTGTGGGTTTGTGGATGAATAAATTCATATTTCCGTTTTGAAAAACGCAAAAAGTGCAAAAATTAAACTGCACATTGTAGTGCGTGCTTTAGAAATGGATACAATATTTTTTAATTATATTCCTAAAAATGAACGACTCGTCACGCTGAATAATGAAATATGTATTTTTAAATGACATTGGAAGTATAATAGTTACAGAATAGAAATTGAACCCGCGTAAAGGACGTATCCTTTATACGTATACAAATCTTCTA